TTATCATCTATCGGACTGTATTCAAGTGTTTTTTTTTAGTAATTTGTTGATCATATTGATTCGATAAAAGTATGTTAAAGTATGTATCAAATATGATACAAAAGGCATTAAAGGGTTAAGTGATTCTATTGCTTTACTTGCTATCATGTTGCAAACATATAGCCACACTTTGGCTTCTGAAGTCACGCAGTGTAAACTTTAACTTTAGAAAATTGGCGGCAGAGGTCCTGAAATTGTCTCAAAATCCTAAAAATGTATGGAAACTTTCAGTGGTCCATGTGTGACAGAGCCTCAAAGGACAACCAGGTGTGAAGCTAAAGTGATTACTTTGTTTAAAAGACAATTCAATGTTTTTTAAGACCCTTCATCCAATTCAATAATACACAAATAAGTCAAAGTCAGATGGTGGACATAAATTTCTTTTTTTGGATTTATTTTGTGTCTCAAAATCGAGGCCCTTAGATCGTAGGCCAAATCTCTATTTTAGTTCTGTTGATGATGTCTGAACATCTGGGCACATGTATGCAACATTGCAGGATTTGTCTATTATTGATATTACCAAGTCAAGTCAGAGTGAGTGTCTCAGGGGTGCATCTGTACCTGCAGATGATGGTTATCTTGAATTTTACAGGTAGATTTATTTCTCTGAATTTGTAAGGGAGTTGAAAGAAGGTAACTTGATACTTTCACACATTACTCTTATCATCTCTAACTAAATCAACACTATAATGGCTGCCATGTTTTCCAAGCTCACTACCATCAGTTCTCCCCGTCTCTCTTCCTCCCCTGTCCACCTCCCTCCTCCCTGTGCCTCTCAGTCCTTATTTTATCCTCCTCTTTTTTCCCCTTTATTTCCTCCAATCTGCCCCACAGAGACTGAGCCAGAGCACCTGCAAGCTCTCACTTTGAAAGATGTTGTAGGCCTCAAGAATGCGCGCAGTAAACACATGAGCGCTGTATTTATAATAAATCAGCTTTATGGCCCTCTGATGGAGGTGATATCAGTGAAATTTATGCTGAAAGACCTCACCGTGCTTAGCAAAACAGCTGCAAGATAGCACCACAGATCCCCCTCCTTACCCCACCACCACCACCACCACCACCACCTTAACCCCACCTCCTCGCCAACACCACCCCACCCTACCCCGCCCCGGCGAACAGCCTGGTCTGACTGGGGTTAGAGAGCACAGCACAGTCCTCCTCTCTATGTGGCGTGGCCCTGCGGTCCCTGGAACGGTAAAGTCCAGACTGAAATAGAGTGTGGGCAGGGTGGCGGTAGTGGGTAAGAGTGTGTGTGAGTCTGTGTGAGTCTGAGCAGTCATACATGTATTTTATATAGGCTGGGTTGCACAAATAGCATGAGCTTGTGGAAGGAGGCTGAGTAAAAGCTGGAGAGTTTTAAGGTAGAATTAGGAAGAAACTTACCCAAGTTTTCTGAGTGAAATCAACATTTTCTCAGTGAATTATATTTATTTTTACAAACTTTAACATCTATCTCTGAAAGGAAGTATATTTTGATTAGATATATAAGACACAACCTCCTTTTGGAGAGCTCTCAGAGGACCAAAGGTTGAAGCTGTTTGGTTCAGCAATGTCCAGTTTATGTGCAGCTGTGTAGTTCTGTCTAATATCTATTGCCATCCTGCTGGGAACTCACTTTTTGAGTTTGGATAAACCTAAAGGCATGGTTGACGACCTGAGAAGCAGTTGAAAAAAACTGAGCCGTTAAGGCAGATTTGACAAAAGTGTCCCGACCCCCCCGAAGTTGTCAAGTTACAACTCGCCTTCCCCACGACACACCCCCTCTGGCAGAGCAAGAAGCCGGCAGAAGATCCTACGCTAGCTTCAAATAGGATTCACCATGTTGGATTGTTAGTGACTAGCGGCAGTAAACGCCAACTCTGCTAGCGAGCACCGTCTGCAGCTGCCTGGACAGCTACCATGTTGACATTGCAGAGACTAATAAGAGTTATTTATGTAACATGAGCCTCGATAAAAGGCGAAAATTACCTGTTCAACAAAAACTCTGCTGTCTCGGCATCTGTTTTCAGGCCCAAATCCTGGTGGAGCTTTCTCCACTGCTATCGAAGGATGACCCGATGTTTATTCGTTAGATTCCTCGCTTGGTCAAATTTCCTCTGCTACTCTGCCCTTTCTTCCGTCGGCTTGCGTTTTCTTCCCACTTTTGGCGGTGGGGTGAGCAGAAGTCGGGTTTTTTTGCGTCCTTCTCCATTTCAGCTCCTGTAGCTAAGCCGCTACGCTACTTTTAGCTGCTCAGAGCTCCGAGGAGGGCCGGGAGAGTGGGAGGGGATGAGTCGGAACTACGAGAGAGGGGTGTGCTGAATACAGAGAGGTGATTGGATGGAGAGGCGGAGCAGGAGATTGACCAATAGGAGCTGTCCAGGACGGATGGCTCCCATTGGTCAACGTTCTTGCACAGATTTTTTCCATCCTTTTTTCTCTTCACTCTTTGGAGATCACACTATAGTACCATGATCGCCATATAAACAAGGTTCATAATAATTACCAATCTCTCCAATCGTCAACCACGCCTTTAATTTAAGTGCCAATAAACTTTCCTCTCTTGTAGTACATCAAAGATTAAAGCTCAAAGTGGGTCGAACAGCTTTGTCATCTCACTCTGTGACGTCCAAACTGCACACCTTCAGTAAAAGTGGCCTTAAAAGATATTGTAACACAAACCAAGCAATCACACACTCTCAGTGATCATCCAGCCCAGATGGTTTCTCTCGCTGCTCTAATGACTGACCAGAAAAGCAATGATGTCACAGCCGTGTCTGCGTAGTACGGTTTCACCTTACAGCACCCATTCCCATCATTCCACCATGAAAGGTGACCACCCGCCATTATTTGGTTTTCAGCAGATGCAGGCAATAATAACAGGGACTGCGGCCCTGCTGGTTTGAAGTGTTCCTACAGCCTCGGAGAAGCTGTGGATTTACACATAATCAGGCCCCGAAATAACCGGCGTAAACAGTGAATTACTGTGTTTTCCTCTGATGTCATCTCCTGCCCGTTCGGCCAGGACTGGTGAGGCAGCTTCTGTAAATGTTTGTTGTCCTTTTGTCAACAACCCCATGCGAGGAGGCTTCGTTTAGCATGTTGCCTTTTTGGTATCAGGATGAAATAACACACAGGTGGATGAGCGTAATATGATGAGTCATTCTCGCTAATGTAACGCCACGGAGGAGTGTTGGACAGGGAGATTCTTACTTCCCGTTCTCTGGCAAACTCTGCCAAAGTGCTTTTGAGCAAGGTACACATCAATTATTGCAGAGGTTGGCAGTGAACGTACACAAAACCTCCAGGCGTGAAAGCCTCCAGATGACTGAGTGGAAGCAGGAAATTACAGGAAAAGGTCACATATTTAAGGTCTCTCTTCAGCCGTGTTTAGACAGAAAGCTTAAAATAAAACACATGGATGTTTGTGAGTGGTTAAATGTACCAGTGAGAGAACTGAATGTGATCCAGGGAGTCTGGTTAGATAAGTACATCCATAAGCCCGAAAGCTTATTAGAAACAAATACTGGTCCTAATGTTTTTCAAAGTAATCATCATAAAATCAGAAAGATTTAGTGGATCTGAAGTTTAGAAAAGGCTGGGAATAACTTACAGTATCATTTGAATGGGAGATGTCTCTAAAATTTATCGCCTGCTTGATTAAAACCTCATGACAACAAGTAATCCTCAGTGTTAGGGACAACCTGATCACACAAAACAAATTCAGCCGTGAAAATGAGAACAGTGATCAGCCTGTTGACGATGTAGCAAAAAAAAAAAACTTAGATTGGAAACAAAAAAAAAAAAAGAGTTAAGTATTAGTGTGAATACATAAATCACATAGACTGTGTATAGAATGGACACAGTCTGGGTGAAGCCACTCCAAGAACAGCACCCTCTGGTGACGGGCTGCAGTATAGGTCATAAATCCCGCCTCCTCCAGCAATCTCTATGGAGCTGTGGATGAACTTTAGAAATATTTTACACAGAATATAAACGTTTCTCCCCCCTGCTTGCGATGTTGACGTGTAGTTACTGTAAGACTGGTTTGTGCTCAAGTCCTTTTTTTCTGTGAAGCTCCGTTTTTAAAAGTTATTAGAGGGTTCATGTTTTGTATGATTGACACCTGAAACAGCCTATGGGTATAAGAAGATTGCGTAGCTCACCCGGGGGATACGCTGTTGTCTCTGCGACTCTCCTGGATGTGTACAGTGCTACTGCGCAAGTGGTGAAGTGTGTACAACGCCACTGTGCAATGTTGGTTTCAGGAAATGGAGAAAAATCACTGAAATCCTTAGTGCTTTTTGGCTTCAAATCCGTATACTGGCGGAAGATGGAACCAAGTTGTTTATAGTATAAACAGTCTATGATAAATCAGTAAAATAATATTAAAACCTGTATTTTGTGTAAACAGGACCCTCATTCTGTTGAGATTCTCATTTCCATAACTCTCTGCCTTTTATATACCGATTTGAATGCAAAAACGGCCACTCAAGCGATGAACCAAATTTGTTTTTTATGAAGTTGTTTGCAGGTTTTTGTAGCTACAGCCTGGCAACGAGAAATAAGAGCTCAGATTTTTATGAGACAGTTGCAGTTTTGTTATAAACAGGCTGCAATAAACTGATACTCTGCCAATGAATAAGAAAAAGAAAGGGAGATATGAGAAGGACGGAAAAGAAAGTGTCCATTACGAGTACAAAATAGTAATATTTTCTAATCCTCTGCAGTGTGGACACAACATGTCTGCTATTTTTAAATATATTTTGCTATGTAAAATGAAGGCATTGTAATTCCGCAGTAATCCCACCATCTGCCTTTAATTATCTTTGTGCCACACCAGATTGAAAGAGCATGACCCACCTGGATTTAACTTAACAACCATGCACATCACTCCAAACCCATGACCTCATGCTCCTGCAGCCTTCAAAGTTAACTGTTTTGACTCATACTGTATGTGATAAATAAATATCAGCTCGCTAGACCAAACCTTTCTGTGATTTTACCCTCGGCAGCGTGAGGAGGGGTTGGCCGTCCTCTCCTCTCTCTCTCTCCTCGATGTTCTCACCTCCGCTCTCCTGCTGCAGCCCGGGCTCCCTGTGGGTGGGGTTCAGTACAAAACTGGAAGGGGACACCGGCGGGGTATAATGCAACGGATTTGGCAGCCAACTCAACACCAACCACTGGGGTGTTTTAGCCGTCGCCATGGTGACCAGCGGGCTCCTGCAGCAGACGCTGGGCTTCCCGATTTTTGCACCTAAAGCTCCTGAGGAGAGAGATGAAAGGTGTTACCAACAAGAACAAAGAGGAGAGAGGGAGGAGAGGGAGGTTACATGCGCTGTGTTTTCTTTATTTATTTTTAGTTGCGTTCTGGTTAAGATCAAACTCAGGATTTAATGTTTATACGTATCTTTTTTAGATCCTGCTCCCGGATATCCCCACACATAACAAACAAAACCTTTCAAATAAGCCCTCTGATGCTGTTCCATGTGAGCCAAACCACTAAAAACAACAATAACTGAAATAACATGGACACATGCATCATTATGCTGGCTAATATCACTAAAACTGTGGTATTTTTATTTGACTTATTTTCCACCAAGACACTTTCATTCCATGACTTGGATATGAGATTATTTGGGTTTAGGTTTTGGTGAAAAGGATCTGATGTTTACGTGCGTCAACACAGAAATGGCATATTTGGGTTTTCTGCATGATAAAGGGATACTGATGTGCGTATAAACACACGGGCATTATAAAGGAGATTTTTTCCAAGGCTTTGAATGCATCATTTTTTACTTTGAGACACTTGAAAAGCCCATGCAAAAATGGAAAATCCATAAAAAATCACTCTGTGTCTGAACCCTGTAGGCCTCTTATGACTCCGACCACCTTTTTACCAACGTATTACTGAATATGTGTGTGTGTGTGTGTGTGTGTGCTGTAAAATTTAAAACGCCGCGACCACTCTTTACGCTCCTGGCTTATTGTGGAATAACCAACCTTTTGTTTGTCTGTTTATTTGTTTATTTATTTATTTTATTGGCAGCGGAAAGTTTGTGTCATGTCAACGGGCCCTGAGGACCGGCAATGAAGCTAAACACGGCGGGGGGAGAAAAATGTGGCTTCAGTTAACTGTGTCCATTACAACGTTTGTAAAACTAAAGCAGAGGAATCAGAGTGTTTTTCCCTCCACTCTTCGGCTTTATTTTTTCATTTGTTTGTTTGAAAGGAGCTGGATTATCTTTTAGGACAACACAGGGGGGGGAGTATTGTACTCGATCGCACCCTGCTTCAAAAACATATACTTCTTTAAACCTGGCTTTTAAGAAGAAGCTCGATTCGATGTGGAATTACAGGTAATATGACTAAGCATGCTTTTAAGAGCTTCCCAGCAGTCAACAACTCAAGTTACATCTGGCCTCGTAACTATCTGATTTAGGATCTGCTTTAGCCCACCAGGTGCAGACTATTACTTTAACTAGAGAGAGTAAAAATGAGCGAGCAGATGAATCCACAAAAGATAAGATGTAGCTAAGCATTGTTATGAATTTAAATTAAAATCCTTGTAGTTTATTTGTTGATTTGTTTAAAAAAACGGAACAAAGTTTCACTATGAATGGTCTCATTAACAAGTCTGTGGCATTAAACCGCTCAAGTGAGTCACATTGTTGTCATAGGTGACGAGTTACCTCAGTATGAGCGGGGGGTTTAAAGTTTATTTTGGGTAATCCCACATACACCATCCCGCTGCTGTAAATACTCAGTATACAGCCAATCTCCAGCTGGAAATAGTCCCCGAAAAGTGTCCTTTTCACTCCTGTTTTTTGAGTCATGTTTGCTGAAACCTGCAGATCTGGAAAGTGTGGGGCCTTTCCTGAAAGATGAAAGTCCGTCTGTGATCTGTGTTTGAATGTCTTTCATGAGAAGTGAGCTAATGGGAGGAAAAAAGAAAAAAACGAGGAATAAGTACAGCCTTACCGTTTGAGAGGATGACCTCCCGTCACATGCGAGTGTCTGTGCGTGCGTGCGCACACACTCGACAGTGTGTTGTGTTAGCGTGCCTTCGTGAGTGTATGTGGGGTAAACTGTATCCCACCCCTGAGCTCCAGCTCTCAAATCAAGGCCCTGAAAGTAAACAGCGCACTGCCAGAAGACCTTGTTTATCAAATCTGCAATTGCACTCATAGAGCAAAATGACCTACAATTACAAGCCCAGCTAGAAATTAAGTTTTCAGTCAGTGATCCAGAAAAAGATCATAGGAAATCCTGCAAAAGGGAATTCTTCAGTAGTGCCCTCTTTTTCCTAAAACGCTACGCCGTCATGTCAAATATGTTCCATAAGACTTTGTCAAAGGGGTTTATACAGCCTCTTTGCACACTAACACATGGTGGTTGTGTGTGTATATGTCACATCATGGTCATGTTTCTAGAATTTCCTCCCAAAAAACCACAACAGGCTCAAACATCCAAGCACGAGAGCTTTGTTGCTACCGGCTTAGCCAACTTATTCCGACCACTCCTAAAGCGTCAGCCGTTCCAGCAAAAGCAATTACATGCCCCTGCCCTGAAAGCGAAGTGGAGAGGTTCTCTCTTTAAAGTGTGTAAAAAATCCCTCCTAGTTTAATTATGTGGTGCTGGGTGGAACCTGGAGGCTGCTCTCTCCTGCCCTGCTTCAACATAAGAGCCTTTTCCATGGCAAGAGCATGCAACATGTTGGTTCCCACAGAGGGATCGGAAGCACGGCGGATCCCAAAAAACCAGGGTTACAGCATTCCTGGATCTGCAAGAAAGCATGGTGACCTAATCGCCTGACCACCTACCACTCCGTGCCAAATCCCGAGCAGCAGGCCAGACACCCCTGAGAGTAACATCCGACTGCACCATGAAATATTACGTCAGGAGTGAGTCACTGGACACTGAGCCTGGGTTAGAGCAGCTTTACGTGCTCACAAACACAGGAGCTCTGATCAGACTGCATTCAGCCTCTGAGTAAACTCTATCACTGAGAGGAAATTTGTCACTCCTGGCAGACTTTTTACGAAGTTTCGTAATGTTGTTGTGCGTTTCATCCAAAGTTTGAGGAAGTGGAAACTGTTTTTTTTCCCTAACATTCAAAAAGTCTTGTAAACAAGAGTTTAATACGTAATTTTATAGTTATGTAAAATTAATGAGCCATGTAACAACTACATGAGTTATAAAAATTTGCCATTATGAATAATAACTTAAAGGATTTCATCCAACTAACTGTCAAGTATTTCAAACTGATTTATTTTCCTCTCAGAGGGAGAAACCTGTATCAAACGTCTTCAAGTCCATCACATTACACTGAAATTTCTTTGACAAACGCTTCCTCCTCATTTTGCATCCAGATGTTTTGCCATGTGGATTTTGGAAACAAATTTTCCCTCTGACAAATAACCAAGCTGGAGACCCTGAGTTAGATAAACAAATTTGTCTCTCCTAATAAATCAGTTCATGTTGGTTTTATTACTGTTTTGACGTGTGAGGCAAGCACATCATCAGTCAGTGTGTGCAGAAAAACTCAACGAGTGAAAGAGAGAGAGAGACTGTGACCACTGACCGGTTTTCTTTCCTGCCATGTGTGTTAAATATACTGTTTTAATTTGCCGGTGTTATGTCATCAACTGATGCTAACACTGTCAACACCATCAATGATTGTTCTTCAATCAGACGGATTTGTGGTGTCTCAACCATCTTCGTTATCCTTAAAGGACGATGCACACTTAGTGATTGAACCTTGCCTGCGTGGCAATGCTAGAGAGAAGATAAAAACTCAAATATAAGGACATGTGTTGGGCATGTTGCTGAAAATTTTTAAAAAGCTGCTATTACAAGCTTATAAATATATAAAACGCTCAACGGGGATTGCTAATTAACTCCTTGAAAGCAGCACACAATACATGTAATAGCATATGATATAATACAAATTTAAAGGGCTATTCCAGCATAAAATTAAGTTAGGGTCAAACACACAGTAACGCCGAGTTAGACACCAAGTCGAGAGATGAATGTTGCCGACCGCTTGCTCCTGTAGTTATATCAACTTTAGTAAGTAATAATCATAAATGTTCTTCTTTAGGTTCGCCTGCCCCTGCTGCAGTCGATGGACTCGCCCGGAGGTCTCCGTACAAACAAGCGGCTGCTGGAAGAGAGAGGGTGAGTTGTGTTTAATCTCTTTGTTAAAGAAATTAGGCAAAGTTAAAAAGATGTTTGGTGGCTAGTACTATGTCTGAGACCCTATATGTCCTGTTGATAAAGTTAGATGCTGTTCTGAGCATAATTTGTGGCTATAGAGTTGCCTTTTGGTTGAGCACGTGGCTCTCTGTATTGCTATCTGCGGTCTTTACTAAAGTTGGTATAACTAGAGAAGCAAGCAGTCGGCAACATTCATCTCTTGTCGGGGTGTCTAACTCGACAGAATGCAATACAACACTGCATCATGGGATAAGGAGCATTGTTGCAGTGTGATGTGATACAATATGATACGATACAACCATAAAAATACATGGTATGATTCATGATAAGCGGCTGTGTGGTATAATATAACAAAATAATATCACACTGCAACACTGTTTACTGGTTTAATTCAAAGGTCAGTGGAAAAGCAAGGCAGCTGTGTCTCACTATTAAGTCTTGACTGATTTAGCTGGATATGTATTAGTCCACACCCTAACAACCAGGGCGGCTATTACCAACAAAATAGTCAAATTTGACAAAAACAGTGGTTAATCATCGACTGAGCCATTACTTGCTGTTTTTAGTGGCAAAACCAAGCTCTGGGCTGTGATATGAGAGTTATGATTCATTATGTACTTTGTTCAAAGCGAGTCAGCTGAAAACCTTATCTATTTTTTTTTTAAGTATAGTTGAAGGGTTTAGTTAGGGTGACCACACGTCCTCTTATACCCGGACATGTCCTCTTTTTTGGGGGGGCTCTCTGGCTTGTCCAGCGTTGTCAGGAGGAGTTTCTAAAATCCTTCAAATGTCCGGGGTTTGTAAAGAAGTTTTGAGTTTGTGTCATGTGGACTTACAGAGTTAGAAGCCCATAAAAAACGCTTGATCCAACCTGAAAAACTCAAAATTAAGTGCATGTGACTCTGTGACTCAATCCCTGCGTAGTCGTGTCCTTTTTTTGGGGATTCAGAATATGGTGTTCCTAGTTAAATCATTTTATATTTCTTTATTTGAGAAGCAGTCAACTGATAAATGTTTTATGCCAATAGAAGGAGCTGATGTTAGCTCACAAAATTCTGCTTTTAAATCAAAAGAATCTGCTCTGATGTGTATCTGGCTCAGAGATAGAAACCTACCTCTCTCTTTCTTTATAAGGAAATGTCATGTCAAAACACTTGATGAAGTCAGAACTCACCAAGTAGAAATAAAACCCAGGATCAAAATATCTTCTGAAAATCTTCATTTTACTGCCAAATGTTTTTTAATAGGTCAAGTATTTTGTTTCTTTTCTGTCTCTACCCCGTCGTCGCCTCTCCTGTTGCCCATGGTTCGCCCACACAAGGGATGTTAGCATAGTCCGACTGCTTGGAATTCCTTCCTGCTGTCTTGGGAGCACACACTGCATTTTAAAACTTGTTGGGCCCTTTCAAGTTTTATTTGAAAGTATGTAATTACATTCTCGCAGGAATAAGGGGTTCCTGGAGTGATTTACATGCTGTATTAAATGTCACAGTTTTTTAAAAGATGAGCTGTTGACACACAGCTGTTTAAGAACGTATTGATAGCCTGTAATGATAAGACAGCTTTGGGCAATAAATAGAGATGTAGTGATATAATGTGGAGGAGTGGTAGAAATGAGGGCGGACTCCACCTGTGGTTTGTTTTTGACTGTTTTTTGTTTTGTTTGTGTTTCATGAGATTAAACCAATAAATCATGCAGCCAATTTGTTTTTTATACTTTTGCCTTTCAGTTTCAAGCGAAGTTTGATAAGTTAGTGCATGACTTTAAATCAGATTAGGAACATTTGGTCTACCGCATTGCCTTTTATTTAATTATGGTCTATTCTGGTCAACTTCCATCCAGTCAAGTCTAATCTATCTCCTTCTCGAGCACCACTACATAGCACTCGTGCGGTTCTCTATCACAGCACCACTGCTGGAGAATTTATTTAGCTGCCCGTTAGGCCTGGCCCTCTTGGGGACGGCGGTGCGGACAAAGACAGCTCCCCTCTCAGATTAAAGGAGTGTCTTCAAGTGCCAATCCAAATGGTGATAAAAAAGCTTTTTAATCCATCAAGAAACCTTCCTGGTGTAACGTCCCCAGAGTCCAAGCGTCAGGCGTTGCCCCACTCAGGGCTGAGTCTGGACAGTGTTGAAGGCCTGAGTGTGTCTCCCAGCGCACTGACAGAGAGCGAGAGAAAGGCCTAAAAAAAGGCCTCCCTCTGCCACTCACTTCACCGGCTGTTTTTGATAACATCTGGCAGGGGCAGGTTAGCAACAGCGACAGCAGGAGATGGAGGGGCATTAAAGTCCTGTCACTCACGTAGGACTGAAAATGAGTCGCTTATACCGGAGTGTCACTGATGATCTCTCTTCCTAATGGGTCTGATGATACCCCTCTTTGGATAGATGGTTTTTATTCCGTCTGTCTTATCATTAAAGGGATATCCCGGTGTAAAATTAGGTTAGGGTCAAACACACCATAACACAGAGTTAGACACCCTGTCGAGAAATGAATGTTATACCAACTTTAGTAACGACCGCACGATAGCAATACACAGCGGTCTGAGGAGCGATAAACAAACCTCAACCAAAACGCCACTCTATAGCCACAAATAATGCTCAGAACAGCGCCACCTAACTTCATCAACAGTACAAATAGGGTCCCAGCCATAGTACTAGCTACCAAACATCTTTTTAGCTTTGCCTGATTTCTGTAGAGAGACTAAACACAACTCACCGTCTCTCTTCGGGCAAGTCCATCGACTGCAGTGGAGTTTCGCAGCTTGAGGAACAACATTTGTGATCATTTCTTCTGCCTCAGCATATCTGTCTGATTGCATTTCCATGAAGTAATAATGAAGTGTGTTTGACCCTAACTTAATTTTACACCGGAATATCCCTTTAAAACTGCTGATACATGCGCAGCCAGTGAGGTCAAACATTTCTGTAATTTTATCTCTGATCACGAGAAAAACTTGAAATATTCTCAGATTTGGAGTCTAACGGGGAAAGCGTGTTTTTGAGAGGATCGACCAGGAGACTTGGACCTGTATTTGCTCTAGCGAAGAGGGTTACAAGGGGACCAAAAGTGAGTTTCAACACAGCTCCCCTAGAGAGGCTCAGACCTTTTCAACATCCATCCTTCTCCGTTTTCCCTCTGTTTACTTCTTAGTTCATGAGTTTACATGCCAATTCCATTACAGGGATTAAAATAGTTTGTCCAATCTATCCTCAAACTCTGCTCCCCTTGTCCGTCTCTCTCCTTTAACCCCTCACACCACCTACTTTCAGGCTATCAGGTCCCAAGGCCGTGTTAGGGGAGGGATTACAGGACAAGCAGGCCGCACTCAGAGAGACTCAAGGCGTCCGTGCTGAAGAATGTTCCAATGAGATGCCCGAGCATTAGCGAGAGCCGGGGTTTGATCAATGGCCGCGGCGCGTGTCTGCACTAGCGAAACACTTCACGGAGCGTCTGAAAGAGAAGAAAGGGAGAATGAAGGTGTGTTTTGACATCGGGCTCAGGGTCACCTTTGAGCCGCTGCTGCTGATTAAGGGCTGGTGTTCACAGGTGAGCGGCTCCCAGCAGGATTTAGTGACACAAAGGCACGGAGGTGAAATCATCCGGCCAAAGCAGCAAACGCACCGCTGACCTCTTCCCAAAAAAAAAAATAGGGCCAAAGGCAAATGTCAGGAGATAAATGAGCTCTGTGACCGTGCTCTCTGCTCACTCAAAGGAAAGTAATGGCAGATGAACTTTTAGGTTTTTAAAGTTACCCTCCAAACAAAACATACACAAAAAGAAAGAAAATACTTCACTTTAAAAGCATGATATATTCGCAGATTTTAATCCACGAATTAGCCAATCATTTCTCACCCACATAGACTGTGCGATCAGCGGTTTGTACCATAAGCAGTAAAATAAGTCAGCCAGTTGCTGCCTGTGGGTCTAAGCCACCCGCAGTTTGTAATCCCCTTTGAAACTGAAGGGGCTCAAAGGGGCTAAGCCTGGTCAGCACCTTGGAGGGGACATCCACAGCATATCTACAAGTGCTCTCAGCAGCAGGGTCAGTAAAACAAAGCTGAGGCTTCCTGTGTGGAGGGAATCCAGGCTGAAACAGGCTGGTATGCTGGATAAATGACAGTATTTGACTTCGTGTTTCAAACAAATAGGGCTGGGCGATATGGGAAAAAGTTTACCACGATATATTTTTTCATATCAGTCGAAATCGATATATATCACAATATAAAAAATGAAATTTAACAGTGCTTATTGGTAGCATGTCTTTTGCAATACACTAAGCTACTGCTTCTGTGAGGTCTTTGTGTCTCTTCGATGTTTCGTCGTAAGATGTTCTAGAGAAAACAGACTGAATGGTCGGCTGTTTAAGCTGCACAGGCGCCATGGGCTCCTTGCTCCACTCAGGGTTTGTAACTTTTTGCATTGCGCGTGCACTGCCGCGTGGCTCTGCTTCAGGTGGTAAAAATGATTTGATGTATACCCCGACTTTGCGAGAATGTGTACTCAACATAATAAGCAGTGCACATTTGTCTGCTTCATGTCCGACCTCAAAAAACCAAAATACCTCCACACCGCCAACGTTTTCCTGACAATTTTGTTGACAATGTCATCATCTGTTGAGCCTTCATCTTCATTTCTGTCGGGGGTAGCACTCATTTTCTTTCTTTCTCACCGACAGTGCTGTCGGCTTCACATGTCAAAGTTCTATGGTTGTGTGTAGCTGCTGTCTGCTACTACACAGTTGTTTGCTACTTGGTTCTAATTCAGAACATGATTGGTTCAGTGCGAGCAACTCCACTTTTCATAGGCTGTTATAGTCTACCAAAACATGGCAGAATGCTGACTATTAAAAAGAATATTGACCATGTTTTATATTGGTATTGAGGGAAATTAATTTTCGATATATATCGTTATCGTTTTATCGCCCAGCCCTACAAACAAAACATATAAAATGTAGGTGTGCAACCAATCCTTTGAAGCTGTACAATCTAAGAAAGTAAGAGATGTGTTTACATTGTTGAAAGGGAATATTTAACCAAATTTAACAGTTAGACTTTTGATGCACTGTATTTGTGACCCTTTTAAGGACAAGAAACGTCTGTGGCGCATAAACATGTTCCTCCATTTCTCAAGTTTTATTACCAAAAACATTTTCTTTTGCGCACAACAACCTTTTTTTTCCCTCTAACTAATAAGTTTCATGCTCACTCACTAAAAACAAAATGCATGTGTTACTTGTTTGTCCCCTGTGGAAGAGGATCCGCTCCTATGTAGGTCTAAAAGGCTCATGCACTATTTTAAGCATACAATACCTTTGAAAGTACTGTACCTTTAAAATAATCGTAAACATATAAAATCATTTAAAGTGACTCCTTTAAAGTAGCATTATGCAACATGAACATTAAACAGATAAAACCCTCTGCTACCCATTATCCACCTGCTAAGCCCCTCCATCCAAACAGCCCATCAAACATGCATGCCAACTGTTGCCATGGTTCCACTCGACGAGTTATGCCAGATTCACACCACACATGCAAAGAAGTCTAACAGCGGAAACCGGTGTGTGCCCACAGCCACTGTGCTCTCTTTGCACCACCAAAGTGAGTGGAGAAAGTGGATGCAGGTCATGTAGAAGCTGGATGATGCAAGTTTGTAGACAGTCGCTGCAATTGACTGCAAGCTAGCCCTGATTGGTTGTTTGATTCAGATGCTCGCAGCTTTTAAAAAGACAAATACCACAGAGCGAGTGCTCCCAGACACGGATCAGACTCATGTTAATGTAAGGGGACGTTTCCATTTAACATTGTCTCTGACGTTTCATGATCAAAATGCGATTTCAACCAAAATTCTGAGAAAATCATTTTGCCTGCTGTAACTAAAAAGCTTCAGTGAGAAACTTTTGGTCCGTGTTAAATGTCTTAGCAGTTCGACATGTTTAAAAAGGCTGTTTATATGCAGGGTGCAATTATCACTTAGCCTGACACCTTCCTCCTACTGGTGGTTTAGCAAAGTAATGTCATCAAAGAATCTGCAGGCATGATCAAATCACAAGTTAAACTTCAGAATAACGGACAGTGTTGATGTGTTTTGCTTTTAATATTTATTCCCATTTATTTTAAAAAAATGAACACAATTATTCTTACTTTGTTTAGGATCCCATAAACCTGTTTGTGTATCTACATGGAACAAGTACCAGAAGTATAGTTATTTTATTTCTTTGTCATATGAGATGTTACCAAGGTACACTACAATATCACCATCCATCATGCCTTGAGTTCAGGAGGGTTTGATCCTGATACATATTTATTACATGCTGATCTTCATGTTTTGTTTCTTTTTAGGTGACTGTTATTGAGGCTTATCTGCAGTTTGCATCTCGTGGTCCAAGGAGGTGCCAGAGCAGGCCCGGTGGTTGTTATTGTGTCTTCAGATCATGTGCACCATACTGACGTAATATAGCAGTATCTCTTACATCTCAAAACATCCTGTGGAAAAAAAATATATTACAATTTGGTCATTGTAAGTCTGCCCGGGCTTGATGCTATGCATCCTCTCTGACACAGAAACAAATTACTTTTACAGATTTACAAAAAAGATCCTCTGATTCCACAGTTGGCAACACCTCCATGATGACAACAGATCCATGACAACCTACTTATGTGGACAAATTAACACTAGAATGAACTTTTCAACCATCCGTCAGGCCAAAATATTCGAGGTTTGTTAAAATTCATATTAAACTGAGAATTCGGTACAAGCCTGGTCAGGTGATGCCTGGTGTTTAGCCTACCAGAACTAATGCAGACAGAGACTTTTTCTTTTGCCACAGTGCCAACATGCAGAGGTGAAATCTGCTGGAAGTCCTTTTCACAGATTGATTTACAATAGGCTAAGTGATCAGATTAGGGTTAGGGTTAGGCCAATGTCTCTGGCATTGATATTTGGAATGAAGTATTAAACGCAACTGGTTGGTTAGCAAAAAACAAAAAGGCAGGGAGTACACAGTATTACCGTTTCAGAGCTACAATCAAGCATACAGCCTCCATGATTACAGGAATACCACAAGGCATCCCTCTTGGCCTCCTACTGTTTTTCCTCTCTAAGATATAGTGGTCTGTTTTTGGTAAATTTCTGGAAATCCCAAACAAAAAAAGTACTGAATCCAACTAACCTGAACTTGTTTAACTCTTTCAAAGTGGTCTTGAAACTGTAAGAAAAAAAAAACTTTACTCAGACTCCATGTGTACAAGAAGTAAACCACCATTAATCTAACACACCAGTCCCACTGAGCTTTTTTTAGTCTAATAGACGTCTAAATGTAGCCGAGATGACTGGTCTAAAATCAGGCTAGGTCTAAAAATAAAAGTTTTTTAGACGTCTAAATTTAGACCAAGTCTAAATCTGAGTTATGTCTATACTACATTGTACTTGGAGATCACTTATACAACTCACAGTTGCTTGTTGAAATCAATAGTTATCGAATAGCGGGATAAAGTGCAACATGTAATTTCCGTCTAAAAATATACAGAATCTAGACGGTTGAAACTAGGTCTAAAATAAATTAGACGTCCAATAGCCGTCTATTGCTTAGTTGGGTGTCCTGCAAAATTCTTCTAACATTTTTTTTTTTTTCTTAGTAATGAGAACCGAAACCTGTCAGAGAATTTGATCTAGTTCAGAGAGAAAAACCTGGTTTAAAAGGTAGTCTCCCCCATGCATTAACATCCATGATTGCCTAAGTGAATAAATGATTTTGTAATTTAAGTTACAGGAAAACTTTTTAAAGAGTTCGAAAACAACAAAGTTTTAAATAGAACTTTGTCAACCCAACAACAAAAGAACAGATTGTTCAAAATTAATCTATTTAAGCAAGAATTTTCCATAAAGTGTTATTAAAAGAGTTTTTGTTTTTGTAAATTAATATTTAAATCAATAATCATGAATAAAAAAAAAAAATAAAGATCCTGATTTTTATTTGTTGTAAATGGGAGTGTTTTTTCAGACATAGTGTCACCATCTGTGGGTACGTGGGTCTTTTCATTTAGTGTACCACGACGTTGCATTGTAAAGAGCAGCCAGTTTACAGTCTGGACCCCTGCATTTAGATGTAGATAGAAGCACTTAGCATTCTGGCCCCTTCGGCTGTTATTCAAAGTCAAATTACAAAGTTCACATCATGAGAAAGAAAACAGTGCGCGCGATGAGCTCTCTCAAAGTGGGGGGGAGGAGGGAAGGGGGGTTATCCAAGGTGTTTGAGACAGATGAGGGAGGTGGGGGTATGAGAGGGGGAGGGAGGGAGGGAGGGAAGAGGAGGCAGGGAGGGTAAATTGGGCGGACACATAAAACTCCAAGGGGCCATAGATGCTGGATCATTTTGGAAAGTCTGTTCATCCTGCGCTCCAGTCGCCCTCACGAGCTGAACCAGGGACGGATAGGAAAACCCCGCAGCTGAACGCGAGCGCCGGCCTTCACTCCCCGTCCCCGTCTCGTCTGGTCCGATGAGAGGTGTTGCTAAAGGATTAATGAGCTAGAAAGGCACCCAGCTTCTTCTCCGAGGCTCATTTCGGCGTTTTTCGGCTTTACGCCTGGACTGCCTTTCACCTCCCCCCTTTCTTATTCACTTCATTTGAGGATACCTGTACCTCTACTGATGGTAAGCGCTTCTCTGCTTCACACATTTCCACAGAAAAAGAGACCCAGCGGGGCAGCTTTAGGAAACTGAACCTGTTGAGCGAGACAGGAGGAATCACGGTGACAGCTCGGGACTTTAAGAGTTTTGTTCTTGAGTGATATTGCGTGGACTTTAGGGAGAGTTTTGGCAGAGCAGAAATGAACAGAAATACTCATGTGTAGAACCGTTTAGCCTAGAGTATTAAGAGTGGAGCGCGGAGAAAGGGGAATAGGAGCATTTGGGGACGAAGGAAAGCGAATCGATCCAGATGGAGATCGTAACAGGCTTTTGTCCCGGAGAGTTGAGCACGGACAAACTTAAAACGTGAGGTCATTCACAAACATTATCCAGTTTTTTTCTTCCTTTAAAGTTAGATTAAAACCGTCTACTAAAGTTTGGCTCAGACTTTGGCGCATTAAACACCTGTATCTGCTTCGTGCGTAATGTTGAAGATGGAGAGGTCTGCCCAGAATTTGAGCAAGAATGGGATCATTGCTAAAACTCAGATTGATTTTTAAACTGTAAACCCATCCTGAAACGCATTGTTAAAAAAATCTTTTTGTAATTTATTGATATTTCTGATCACATATGAGAAAATGAGCAGGAAAACGAAGCGCAAACAAACGCAGAGCGCAGGGTTAGTGGGCTAATTCTTAATCAGAATCGACATATAAAAGGCTCAGCTGCTTTCTAAGATGCTTTCCCCTGATTTTACTCAGCACCTGTTTAGTAAGAGGACCGGGGTGAAAATGTGTCATGTTATACAGTGACATAAACGCAGCAGCAGAGAAAACATTTTGCGGCCTGCAGGCGCATGGCGTCTTTGGCACACTCCTCAACTTTTCAGCTCAAGTTTCGCCTCCATGCGAATGAAACACTTGCCACTCGAATTACCACCGAATTCAACAACTTTAACGCATACTAAAAACTCCTTGCAGTTATTACTCTTATTTAAACATTAGTAGTATGATATTAAACGTTAATCCATATTGATCAAAGTCAACATGGACTCATAAGTCAAACAAATCTCAGAGGAGTTTCCAGCTAACTTATCTCCTTGTCTGAGAACATAAACCAGCTAACAAAAGCATTAACCTGATTTAAGTGATCTCACTGACTGTGAATGTTCTTGCTGCTCAACTGCTCACTAGAAGCAAATAAAACTCCAAACCTGCACTGCTGCACAACAACTCACTTTACAAGTCCCTGTTTTATTTCTGTCAACACAGATGGGGATATTGAACATGATTAGACCCACATGCTGAAAATAAAGCTACAAGTATAATTCGGTGTCCTTTCAGCTCTTCTTTTATCAGGTACTAAACTTACAATTCAAGTTATTTGTTATTTTTATAACATATTGAAGATATTAGGGTGATTATTTATATCAAATGAGCTGCAGATCCTGAGGCTCACTTCCACTAAACACAGGGAACATAATACTACGATTCCCATGACCGTTAAACGATTAATCCACATTCATGATGATAAAACCAGGCCAGAGGTTTGGCTGTTCGCTTGGTAACCTGTTGCCCTCCTTACTTCCTCCCTCTTTTTCTCTCACCCCCCACCCCTCTCTCTCTCTCTCTCTCTCTCCTTCCAGTTTTCCCTCCCACCATCACTGTCAAATTCCTCAGGAAACACATCTGAAGAGCCATGTGCATAGTCTGATCACATTATCTCTGGTTAGAGAGAGAGAGAGAGAGGCCAAGGGGGATCGAGCAAAGCCAAGGGCAGTTGACTGCTCCGGCCTAATTGCAGCCCCGGTCTGTGTATGTTGTCAGAAATAGAGAGAGGGAGAGAGGGAGAGAGGCTTCTTGTTTTATATTTTGGTTTTTAAAAAATGGTTTTGATTCCAAGTGATGTGAAGAAAATCTTTAAAAATCTGGATTTGGTTTCGACTGAATCAAAATATTTCTCTTTCTTTATCTGCACCGGTGAAAACAGGCTCTAGAAACATGAAGGCAGTGAGCTGAGCTGAAAAAGTTCCTCCCCCGTCTGCCTTCCATCTTCTTTCATCATCATCGCACCACTTTGAGTGTCTGTCTGTTTTAGCCTGCAGCTTTGTCAGTGGCTGGTTACGGTTACAAGATGTTCTGTATGGTCAGTGTTTTTGAGTGCTATGAATCCCTGTAATCATGGGAGAGGCCCTCGCTGTACAATGAACGTTTGTTGTAAGAGATGTGCACTCTCACACACACACACACACACACACAAAAACACACGTTACCCCCCCACCCCATGGGTAATAGAGCTGATCATGTTCTGAACCTTCCCTCTCTCTCTCTCTCTTTGCAACTTTTCTCACGCACATGCAAGCGGTGGCACACACTTATGCATGCGTACACACTTACAATTTATCTCACGCACACGCACATAGCACACAACCCTTTCTCACACACACACATATATGAGATCTAGTGTCATGACCAAGAGGGGGTCAGTCATAGGTCAAAGTCTAATGCTGTTAGCTAAAAGATCCTCGATTGCATGTACAGTGAGCCATGCAGGGGCAGAGATACAGACCCACACACACACACACACACAGAAAATGTTCCCGTTAATGTGCATCCTCACTGTGTAGTAATGCTTGGGTGTTCTCCAGTGGAACCGGCTCCAAATGATGACCAAAGACTCATTTGTCTCCAGAGCGGAGGGTAGAAATGTCTGCTCTGTGGTGCCGTTGTTGTGGTTTGAAAAGAAGAAGAAAAAAAAAAAAATCAGTAACTTTATTAGTGTGATTCAACAACATTTAGCACTTTTGAATGACGTGTTGCAGGAGTGAATCATTAGAGCCACATTGCTGCGCTCGTTAAACCGAGCGGAGCAAAAGAAAAGTCTGCTGTGGCTGGGAGAAAATCTTTTATATAATCAGGGATTTCTCCTAGAGAGGATAGTCCAAAAACTTTTTAACTCTTAATCAAATTGTCCTCCTGGAACATCTCTCTTTTAAAAAAAAATATCGTTACGTAAGATTTACAGTCGAAACGTATCTTTTCTACCCTTGTGTTGAATGTGCGCCTCTCTTACTGATGACAGTGATGTCAAAGAGCAGGAGGCCTGTCATCAGCGTCACTACGACAACCTGTGTGTTCCCTCAAGTGGGGGAGTGTTACTAAGAGATGAGGCCCTTTTGAGTTGGAAGCATTGGTTCCTTGTGTAAGGAGGGATAAGGGTGACTGAGTTCGCTTTGGAGATGGACTCTGTAAGCAAACAGCCTTCTTGTTTTGGATATGGATTTTACCAGTCCTGATCAAAGAGGCGTTATCAGCTCTTAAGTCCGAACATAAGAGGAACGTTTCAGACTCCCTTTCTCTCGGAAAGATCTGCCAGTATTGGAAAGTGACTGCCTTTCAACCGTGTTTCTTGTAGGTGCAACAGATGAGGCGTCCTTTCAGTCAAAGGGCATCAGGGATCTGTTGTCTGTGTTGTGGCGCATTCCTCTTTACATTCCAGTTACAGTAAATAGCCAGCTTAGCCCATGAGCACAAATGATAAGCCTTAAAGAGACACCAGGTCTCTCTGTCACACACACACACACACACACACACACTCTCCAAGTCTCACTCGATATTTCCTCTGTGGTTTTATCTGTATCTTTCAGGAACAGGGTCACTCCAACGTTCTCCTGCAGCCGCCCAACACCACCTAACATTTCCTGGAAGAACGTGTCCATCGCCGGCTCCCAACAAACATGGACTGTTTTCCCATGCTTTATTTTCTGTCGGTAAGTAAGCGAACTACGCCAACATCGAGGCATCTCCCACTATTTTTCCTTTTCCTCTCTGCCCATCGAGTCACTGATTTATGTGGCATCCACCAGACTTGAACTGAGAGTCCCCATGGGGTGTTGGGCAAGGCACTTGTGTGAGGAGGAGACAGTAGGGACTGTGGCTTCTTATCAAGGGAAGAATTCGCTCTGACCCCGGGCAGCCTCTTTTATACGTCTAATCATAGCTGTGGAGGGAGGAGAGGAGGAGCAGGGGTGAGGAAGGGCCTCAGATTCCATTCAAGAAAGTTTAGTTTTGAACAAGTTGTTTACACTCGGAGGATGTTTCCAGAGATAAACTGCGAGTGGTCTATCTGAGTGAGGATCGCTTCACTGTAAACAATGTAGTCTTCATTCAGGGGGAACAGTCAGAAAAAGGATGTAGATTGTTTGAAGTACTTGTGTATCAAAAATGTGGACCTTTCTGTTTCACTTTCTGCTTTGAGTAATCCTCCCCTTTTCTTCTGCTGCTCTCCTCAGAGACATCATGATTCCTGGTAATCGAATGCTGATGGTCATTTTAATATGCCAAGTCCTGCTGGGAGAGAGCAACCATGCTAGTCTGATACCTGAAGAAGGGAAAAAGAAAGTACCGGGCCTGCAGGGTCGTTCGGCCGCTCAGAGCCATGAACTGCTGCGGGACTTTGAGGCCACACTGCTGCACATGTTCGGCCTCAAGAGGCGGCCGCGGCCCAGCCGCTCGGCCACCGTGCCACGCTACCTGCTGGACCTCTACCGGCTACAGTCAGGGGAGGCTGAAGATGTTGGAGTGCATGACATCGCTTTTGAGTACCCGGAGAGGTCAGCCAGCAGGGCCAACACTGTGAGGGGCTTCCACCATGAAGGTGAGAGAAAAAACGAAAAGAAGTTACAGGGTGAAACTAAAAACACACAAAAAAAGAAGTAGGAAAGTCTTGCAATCTCACAAGAGGGGGGAACTGAATCATGACACCACTCATAAGTCATCCTAGCCATGCTTGCCAACTATTTTGGTAGTAATAAATTTCATTAGCATGGGCGAAGACTGCTGAGTATTCAGGGTGTAAAACCATTTCCTACAACCCTTGAAACATGATTGTGAGGCAGCTCCACCCATCTCACCATAACCAAGGAATCTGAGGATGTGGTCACCAAACACTGTCTGCAGAGGGGCTTAAAATTTCTGCTAGACAAGCTCTCAAGAGTCTCATTTGACAGAACTCTGCATGTTTGGTTAGCAGCTGAAGGAAAAGCATACCTCCATATTACTGACTTACACTCCTCACCCCACCCAGCAGAACACGGCTCTAAAACGCCGGGCCTTGGCCTGGAATTGAAGTTTGCTCCTCTCTCTCTCTCTCTCTCTCTCTCTCTCTCTTTCTCTCTTTCTCTCTCATGTCTCCAGTTTAAATGGAGAGCTCTCTGAGAAGGACCTTCCTCAACATACAATTATCTTTAATGCTTCTCTGCAGGCTTCTAAATAAAGCCCCTACTGCCAACAATGTGGGTGCTGGGAGCAGACGCTGCAGCTTTCTGAAGAGATGGAAAAACAGTCTCAGAAGCGAGTGCGATAGAAAGACTGGAATGCTAGAGGGGTTTCCATTTATTGCGTTTTTGGTCTGCTTAGTTTTGGCCGCAGTACAAGGGGGGTTTAATAAGAAAAAGGAGAGCGCTTTTAGGGCGACCCATCTTTTGAATGTGAGGTGAGAACAGAAAGTTATTGGTAACATGCATGAAAACAATCCTTGGCAGAGAGACAGGGGTTGTGCACCAGATTTAGCGAGGACAGGAGCAATCTTGCCAGAAAACTGGGGAGCTGTAGGGCTAAAGAACATGTCCGCCCTCAGGGGGAGGAGTGAGGAAGGAGGGATGAGTCAGCCTTAATGGGGATTGTCAAACACACTGCGAGCCGTATCACACAGAAACATGCATTTAAACGGCGAGTATCAAGGCCGGTCAGGTAGCAGAGCGCTGCATGTGTGCACAAATGTGAGTGTGTGTTTGTGCATGGATTTCTGCTGCTCTCTGCAGGCTTTTACCCTCCTTCTCCTTTGCTCAACTATGTTAATAACACGTTGTGAAGACTTGAGAGTGGGAGTGCTTTGCTTTCATGGAAGCACCGTTGTGCAATAGTGTGATTCAGCTGTCTGATTTTGGCCACATCACAGTGAGGTAGTACACTCTTTAGCAGACGGTCAGTAAGGTGAAAAGATATGTTTGCCTCACAGTCACTCATCCGGGGAAACAATGTGAACTTCATGCCTGTGACAGATGATATCACAGTGATTTTCATGAATTCAAACCACAAAGCTGACATCAAGGTTTGCACGCATGCATATAAACGTAAGAGTTGTTCCAGCTTTGCTAAAGGATTGAACTCATTTCTTTCCCGAACAAGTGGATAAATGTGATTCCACTGTGTTGTCTGACTCCTTAATGATTATTCATGATGAAAATGATAAACGTCTTAAGTGAACAAACTGCAGAGCCAATCAAAAACACAGCAGGTTTTAATAATGAGAACCACCTGGGTAAGATTAGGGCCTGGGTGTGAAATAACAGGGGTGGATTGAGCAGGAAAATAGTAGACACAACATTCCTTTCCCCAACAATGGTGATCTTGCCAGAAATCTGCAGACTGAGCGTGGAACAGGGAGCCTCCACTGTGTTTATACTGTAGCTGTGGTACGTTAATCACCACCCTCCTTGTAATGCGTGTTTTAGCAAAGTGCTCAGGGAAAGGCATTGAGAGAAGAGTCGGATAATCCTTAAAAAGAGATAAGAAAGCATGGCAGACATTTATTTTCCATCATCTGAATACTTGAGAAGCCTTCAAACTGCATTTACCTCATTTTTTTTTCTTCCAGATAGTGTAATATCAGTACTCTGACGTGGATACGCTTCAATTTTCAGTCCAACAAACACAGAAACAATAGATTCTCTTCTCTAAACTTAAATATCTGAATGTTTTTCTGTTAAAAAGATCCTCATCTTTGCTAAGTTGTGAATTTTCTTTCCAAACATTGTACTTGCTGATGTTAAAATTTCTTAATATTGAGGGATTTTGCAATCACATATCCATCACCGCTCTACTTTCTCACTTTCAGAGCACATGGAGAGGGTGCATGAGCTGCACGCTGGAGAAGCTGCGCCCCTTCGCTTCTTGTTTAACCTCACAAGCATTCCAGACGACGAGCTGCTGTCATCAGCTGAGCTGAGGCTCTACCGTCATCAGATCGATGAGGCTATCGCCAATAACCTCGCGGATGACCAGGGACTTCACCGGATAAACGTGTATGAGGTACTGAAGCCCCCGCGGCCTGGGCAGCTAATCACACAGCTGTTGGATACGCGGCTTGTGCGACACAATACGTCGCGCTGGGAGAGCTTTGACGTTAGCCCTGCTGTGCTGCGCTGGACTCGAGAGCGCCTCCCGAATTACGGGCTGGCAGTGGAGGTCCTGCACCTCAACAAGACTCCACAGCACCAGGGTCGACATGTCCGTGTCAGCCGCTCACTCCACCAGGAGCCCGGGGAGGACTGGGAGCAGCTACGTCCTCTCCTGGTTACCTTTGGTCACGACGGTAAGGGTCACCCGCTGACCCGCCGAACCAAGCGTAGTCCTAAACAAAGGGGTCGCAAGCGCAACCGCAGCTGCCGGCGACATGCACTGTACGTGGACTTTAGCGATGTAGGCTGGAATGACTGGATAGTGGCGCCCCCTGGCTACCAAGCCTATTACTGCCACGGAGAATGTCCCTTTCCTCTGGCCGATCATCTGAACTCAACCAACCACGCCATTGTTCAGACATTGGTGAACTCTGTGAACAACAACATTCCCAAGGCCTGCTGCGTGCCGACAGAGCTCAGTGCCATCTCCATGCTCTACCTGGATGAACATGACAAGGTGGTCCTAAAAAACTACCAGGAAATGGTGGTGGAGGGCTGCGGCTGCCGCTGACACACAGACTGACAAGAACTTGGACTGGCAACTTGAAAAAGCTACACAGACACTCAAACAAAGCAGAAGGTCTTTACTCCCAAAAATGTTCACTTGGACCCTTATTTATAACTTTTATGTTGAGGTGTATGTTTGTCTCACTTTTTTGTTTCTTTGACAATATGATCATATATTTTGACAAAATATATATATTTATATCTACATATTAAAAATAAATTGAGTCCTTATTTTAAACATAAAAAGCTGTACAACTTTTCATAATGTACATTAGATTGTAAAAGGTTTTTTATTGAGAAAATAGTAAAAACAATCTGAAAAGTAAAGTTTATTTACTGGTAATATTTATTCCTACATTTATTTTTTCATTTGATCTACATTTTTGAGAGAGAAAATAAAACTGAATTTCTACCACAAACACATTCAGCGGTTCACAAGATGCACCCTCCATGTATTTGAGAAAATGAGAGCACTGTGTGGATTACTGACACTGATTCTTAAGGAAGTATGAATTCGTTTAATTAGCAATTTCACTTTAAAATAAAATAGATACTTTAATAATCCACATACACACTCTGTTGAACCACCATGTAAAAAGATATAATTACAATTTTCATTCAGAAGGTTAGAAAAGTGGTAGGTGGTCACAATCTTTCCCAGTTTTTCATAAATTTTAATCAAATTTTGTTGTTTTTCTTGTTAAAAAAAGAGATAAAAGTATAAAATTCTCCCTGAACTTTAGTATTTTATAAATGTGACAAAAGGATTAACATCAAAGCAAAAATAATAATGAAAATTGCCACCGAACTTCTTCTCTGCATTTCATCTGTCCTACTTTGAAAGCAGAAGCTGTTAGAAACGAAGCAATGCCTCTGAAAGCGAGCAGGCCTTTAGGTTTCGGCTCTTATTGTTCTCAAATTTCACTTTTATGTCAATTAGGCTAACATGTGGTGGTTGGACACTCACTAATCCAATTGCTGCCGGGGCGGCTTGTTGAGCCTGACTGTGGGAGAGTGATTCTATTGTTCCTGACGTCCCCACATTGGGGGCATGATTGTCGGCGATGCGTCCTGCCCTGCTACGAGGCGGCTGAGTCCTCAGAAGAATCAAAGGTTAGACGCTCTGTCTCCTGCCTTTGTCTTCAGCGGCTCATGCCGGCAGAGCAAAGACGCCTGTCTCCAACCTGTGCCCCGTCACACAATAGGCTTCTACATCACTTATTTACAAGCTGACGGCTGCCCCAAATTATATGATAATGTTTGGAGAGAGGGACCCCTTTGAACTGTCGGGGGGCGAGGGTGGGGCGGCTGTGCATTGTCTCTCAGAGAGCGCCCTGTACATCAACAGGTATGCATCATAATGCGTATAAACCAGTATTACCCTTAACATATTTATCAATACTTGCTTTTTAAATGCATTAAAGCAAAAAAAAATAAACAATGACAGATTTATAAGGTTGTATTTTTCAACTCTAGATATGTCATTTCTAGTTCGCTGCGTGACAGTTCCAGATTTCGATGATTGGTTTTCGTGCTAATCAGGTTTTGAAGTAGGGAGCTAGCAGACCCTCAGGCCCTCTAAAGTCTGCTTTGATGCCTGTATATCAGCATCAAAAAAGAGGGAGAAGATAAAGAAGAATTTCATTTTGAAGCGGTTGAAGGCAGGGGAGAAGGAGCTCGAGGGTGAGAGGTGGGTAAATACGTGATCGGAGGAGGAGGAGGAGGCTTGATAGTGCAATTACATTTTCTACTAACATTAGCCATCTACAAAAACAGAGTAAACATGTTCATTAAATAGAGAAAAAAAAGATGTTTATATAAGCTCAGCGGTCACTTATTCAGCCTTTTTGTTGACCGGTTTGTAAGCTTCGAGTCTGGATTTAAAGAGAGCGTGTGGAGGCGGAGAAGCTAGATCCTTCAGCAGCATCACACCTCCAGTCCTGAGTCCCTCACTAAGTGTCCTCCGCCACGCGGTTGTGAAAGAATTTCAGGAAATACACAGATAAATGTGAGTGTGTGTGACTGAGAGTGTGTGAAGGGAGTTGAACTGGGAGTAGGGGGGAGGGGGTCAATTACCGAATGAGTCCTTAAAAACAGATCGGGGGGCTTTGTCATTCCTATGTGACGTGCCACTCGGTCTCCTGTAAGTGCTCATTCTCACGCAATTACAGGTGAGTCATTATGCAGCAGGTCTATTGACACTGAAGGACTAATTGACTGGGTGAAGTCTTCAAAAAGCTTTTTATTTGGACGTTCCACCATAAAAGCCGAGTGTTTATAGACAGCGAACCTCCCCACAGGAACAAAGAAAGATGATCCTCGCTTTGCATCGCCCTGTTTGAGTGGGCGCACTCCATACCTCCATCCAAAACCATCCTGTTTTTTTTTCCCCTCAGAGTTCACAGATGTGTTAGGGATCTACATCTGGGTTTATGAGTCTATAAATGGGCTCATGAGTCAGATGACACAAAAACACCACAAAGCTAATTGTAACCCATGAGAGTTGAATTCTGTTTTGTGTGTAGATAAATCTAGAGAGCTTGCTCTTATAGCCTCAGGTGAAACTAGTTTCTGAACGTGTTTTGAACTCTTTTAAAGACCTGAATTACTGCACAGTTGAAAGAAAATAAAGGTCCTATGGAGTAGTGAGTTCTGGGTGTGTGTAAATAAGCTTTTTTTTAAAGTTTAAGTTGAATTAAGTAGGTTTAAGCACAATTTAAAAGTGTTCTTTTGACAGAGTCTGAGCTCGGTGGAGCTGCACTTGACTTTACAGTGAATTTGTTTAACTGACCTTTGAAGCAATGCACTTAAATGATCTTCTCCATGTTTAGCTTTACAACCCTAAAATATATCTTTAGTCAGGGCGAACGTAGTCCTCTTTTACCTGGACATGTCCTCTCTTTAAGGCTGTCCCGGCTCTGTCCTGGGAGGTTTATAAAATCCTCCAAATGTGCGTGATTTTGTACGTAAGTTTCGATTTTGTGTCACGTGAACTTACTGAGTTAGAAGCACGTAAAAGACACTCAATCTGACCCGAAAAACTTAGAATTCACTCTGCGACTCTGTGACTCTGCCTACGCGTAGTCTCGTCCTCTTTTTTAGAATATGGTCACCCTATCTTTAGTATCAACAACTGGAATAAGCAACTAATCCTCATGATGGAAAAGCTGGACTGATCGACCTCTGACCAAAATCTTTGTTCAGGTTAGAAAGAAGGAATCTGTTCAACCCTGAGAAACATTGATAAACTTAACTGAAATATTAAGGTTTGTGATAAAAAAAAAATCAACATGGACTCTGTGTGAGTCTGATCGGAGCAGCGGGAGAAAATCATGGTGGATGATGAGGGATGTCTAAAGACTCCACAGAGACCTCTTGATTCAATATATATGTATAAATTCAAATGAAAGGGGGTAGAAGTAAGTGCATCACTGTGCTCTTGAATTCGACCTGGAAAGAGTGAGCCTCTGCTCTGTTGTTCTGCCCCCTCTGTCCGTTAGAGAATCAGGAGGGGCTGCTGTGATGAAAGCTTATGTCAGCGCCGCTCGAGGTCACGGCCTCTTGTTTCACTCTCCCGCTCATACTTCTACACAAATACATCCACACACACACACACATATTCCTCTTATACTCATTTTCAGGGTATATCATTTTTACACAAAGACCCACACGCACACATTCACGCACAGGTCTGAAACCTTAGACCCTTCCCCGCTGTCCATCTGTAGGGGTTATCTGTGTGACACCTCCTCTCACCCCTGTCTGTGAGTCATCTCCACTCATCATGCACACCTCGCCGCTGGCACACAGCAGCTGGGACACTACACGCCGCATTTAAGGGGGATAAGGCTGTCATCGATGGAATACTTTGACCCCGAGGTCACAGGCATGAAGAGCGTACACACACACAGACTCACAGTCAGTACAGTTGAATGGATGTAGGGAAGGGAAGGGGCGGATTTATCTTACACAGGTGAGACTCAGGTGAATCTAGAGTAGATGTCAGTGCACAGTCCTACAACTATACACAGATTCTTCTGTTAGCTGGTTACAGTAAGAGTAAACAAAAACTCAGAGACGTGGACTGATTATCACTGACGGATATCAGGAGTTTCAGTCTGTCCACTTAAACATTGTGTGTTAAAGTTTCTGTGTGTGTCTGTGTGTGTGTGTGTGTGCAAGCCTGCCTTAACATGCAGTGTTAACTACATGTGCTCTGTGTGTTCAGGCTGTTAACTCTGCTGGTGTCTGTCAGGGGTGTTAAAAGAAAAACAATGACGACCTCTCAAAGAAAGCTTAATAACAGTAATTGCTGCCTGAGTGATTAGAAGGACTATAAGATATTTCCATCTTGACAACAGTTCCCAAACAAAGAGTACAGGAGCAGAGGGTCGGGGGCATGGAGTGTATGGGTGTGTGACTGTGTGATTAAACCCCCTTGTTTCTCCCACCAAACCTCTCCAACTGGGAAAGGACCGCAGTGGAAATTTCCACTTGTCAAAGGAACAACCTGCGGGTTTAAAATTTGGTGTCAAGTGCCGGTGTCGCTGTGTGGACGGAATGCTTCTTTTGTGGGCGAGTCTCTGGTGTAATTTCGGGCAGGGCAGGGTGTCCCTGCAGTAGGCCTTTCTTCCTCAAGCTCTGTGCAGTTTCATTAGATACGGCTAATGAAAAGATGGCTGCTGGACAGCTCGGCCCCCCAACGCTCCTCTGGCCTGTATTTAGAGCCTCTGCCTGGCTTCCCCCACTGAACAGGTGTGCTGGCCCTCAAGCACTACACCGAGGGACTGAAAACACTTTGTCCTTGCTTTAACAGACTTGGAACCTTTTTTTACTTCACAACTTTTTCTGACAATTAACTTTTTTTCCCTCCTTGTTTTTTTTTAAGGGAAACAAGTCTGCTTTATACCATCTCTGTAACTTCCTGAATGTATGAACTGAGGGCGATTTTAAGCCAAGGACCCAGAGCTCTATTTAAAACTTAAAAATCAAAGTTTTTAGAATCACAAAAGATGAATTCATTGAACAAAAAATAAGTAGTTTGGACAACTGTTTGATTGGAAAGTTATATCAACTAGTGATTAGGGTGACCATACATCCTCTTTTACCCGGACATGCCCTCTTTTTTGGGGGGCTCTCCAGGCTAGTCTGGGGAAGTTTATAACATCCTTGAAATGTCCCGGGTTTTGTATGGAAGTTTTGAGTTTGTGTTGTGTGGACTTACTGAGTTAGAAGCACATAAAAGACACTTAACCCTAGAACACTATCCCTGGGTGATTTTCACCAAACATGTTTACATGATTTTCATGATGTTGCGTTTGTCTGAGTATCATGGGTCTCTGGGTAACTTCAGCATTGCCTTTGACATCTTTGAAGGCATATTTGTTTCCCTGATCCAAAACCTGCTTTTTCCTTCAGGCACATGTTAGGGTGACTTTTACCCGGCAATAGTGATAGAAGGTAAAGTAGGTTTAATGGATTTGATAGCTGCATGTGGGGAATAAGGTCAGTAAGAGTGGTCCTGGAATTTGCACGCTATCTTTATTTAGCACAGTGGTTATGAATAACTATCACAAAGTAGTGATTTTTAAGGGAATTCCTTTGGTGATAAGAAATATTTTAGTCAGCTGGTCATTTTTACTCACTCAAAATCTGCCATATTTTGGTTCTCTCTCCTGCAGCTGTTATTGTGCCAAGGACCCTGAGTCTTCACCAGGAAAGACTCACATATTAAGTTTACAGTTTCTATATTTGTTTTTTTAGGAATTTTTTGTTCATGAATTCCTAATTTCAGTTATTTTGTTGCGTTTTTATATGATCCCCTCATGGCACTTATTTTTCCTCCCTTTGGACACTGCACAGTTAAAACGAAAAGAAAACTACTTTAATTTGTTATGTATTGTCCTATTTTGATATATTTTAATGACAAGTACTTTTTCTTGGGTATATTATTTTGCGTAAAAATCACCTGGCGATAGTGAAGGTGTTACTGATTTTAGCAGCAGTGTTTTAAAAAACCTTTAAAATAAACTATGCACAACTCTGCGACTCTTCCCCCCCGTGTAGTCGTGTCCCCTTTTGGAGATTCAGAACATGGTCACTGTAGATTATTTTGTAGGCTAATTTTTTCTTTAAAACTTGAAAATTTTAGATGGTATCAAAACCCAAAAATCTACTGGAGTTGCCTTGAAATTTTGAATTTTCAAAGCTTTTTTATTTTTTACAGTGCCTACTTCAAAAGACATGCATTATGCTGTTTATAATAATGCTGTTAAAAGACAATGGCCCTTACTCTGAATTATTTTGCTGTAGTATCACTGTGCAGGACCTACCTTATTCATTAAGAGTATAAAACTTCTACACTATACCAGTACATGCAGGCTCAGGTAACAATGCAAATATACATGCAGCTATTTTCTATGAGTATTCATGGCTCTGCAGACCCAGCAGTTGTTTTTTTAAATCCCTGTAGTAAAAACAAGAGGGAACATAAAGTGTAACATTTTCTTCTCACATCCCTGTCTTTATTTACACATATGGCAGGAAATTAAAGACAGTGAGGAAAGTGTGTATCCCTCCTTTAACAATCTCCAGCACTCCGAAGCCCTTGGCGAAGTGAGATGTTGTAAAAAAAAAAATAGCCTCCTGTAATTAGACAAAGCTGTTTATGCACAACCGCTCCATCTCTTTCCCTCATTGGCCTCTCTGTGAAGCACTAATTTGCCTTTCAGCGTGATAATAGTTGATATACAGTATGGTGTCATCTGGTGACAGCTCATTGTTTAGCTCCGGTTACTTACAGAAGCAGTTTTGGGCTACTGGTGGCTTCTCCCTTTTCAGGTGCATAAATATCTGAGAAGAGGACTGGTGTTTGGCTGGGAGTTAGATCTCAGTGTTTATTTGCTAACAGACTCCCTCTGTGTTCATACGCTGACCCTTTGTGTGGCTCTCTGAGAGGCAGGTGGATTGTGCCCCTGGCTTGCGAGCTACAGTTTGAAAGCAACAACGTGAAACCAGAGCCGTAACACGACCCCGAGGCAATTAGGCCCACAATGAGGACGTTTTTTGGCATTCACTCCTTTTGTGCTCCCAAATACTATTTAAGGGCAAATAAAATGTAGAAGTTTGGATGCTTTGGCGAGGAGGATGGTGAAAATTATCACCATGTCTGTTCTACTTAGGTTAATGTCTCTGCGTAGAAGTTGTCCCAAATTGTTGTGTCTGTCATTTGTTTAAAGTTTGGGTGTGGGCAGGGAGGGATTTGAGTGGGGTTGATAGGACTCAAGGAAGTGAGACCACAGGAGTCCATTTTGTGGGAGGTTTAGCCAGGCGGCTCATTCTTCTGTTTACCAATGAGCTGAAAAAGCGGGAAAAGGTACAGAGAGGGCTGGAAAAGAGAGAGACCACGTCCCTCCTCCCTTCTTTCCCTGAATGGAGTGTGTCTACCGGATCTGCCCAGGATGAAATGTCATATCTTAGACTGATCCTTATCTCTTAATCGCTTCCTTTGTCTCCCATGATTCCCCAGACCCTCCCTGACTTCCCTCCTCAGACGCGGCCCTTTGATGTGTCAGCCATGGTTAGGGACGCTGGGGGTGGGATATTTGTGGTGTGTGCATGCATATGTGTGTTTTAAAGCGACAGTCTGGTTCTGCTTCAAGCTAACGAGAGCCAGAGGTTATCAGAAGTGGATGGAAAGGGCCGCTGCTTTTCATGTCTTGTGGTCTCGCTAAGTTCGTTTGTGTGTTATAACGTGTATTTCTGTGTATCTTCAATTGTCTTTACGTGCCGGAGGGCAGGGGTAATATATAACATAGACAGTTAAGTGTCTCTGCGTGTCTGTGTTTCTTGCGTTTGTATCGCTATGTCCTGATGACACATCAGCCTCACAGACTTTCTCCAGGGCTGCGAGCAGATGTTTGCTCAGTCACAGACAGGCAAATGTGAAACAAATGTTTGAAACACAAAAGACAGATACTCTTCTCCTAATGGACTAAAACACATTCCACTGTGTCATTATTTTAACCACGGTGGTGAAACAGTAATATGGACTGCTAAGTTAGTTTGTGGGTTAGCCACTTTAGTATTTTGATCAATATCTGCGCAAGAAACAAGAACCAGAAACCTCTGAGATTAATGAGCTGGCTTTTTGTTCCATTTTTGGGAAATACAACTACAAGTGATTAATGAGTGGTCTCTGACATTTGAGTGAATTGTAGAATTTTTCCCCTTTATTTTTCCACTGAGGGTCATTAAGTGAAGAATCCAATTTGTCTAACTTGGTGGTGGCCAAATAATTACAAAATATAACATATTCACGCTATTTTTGGTTGATCAGCAAGCTTGCTAAAATGCTAAACTAAGATGGTGTTTGAGGTAAACATCGAACTTACTGAGCATTTAGATGTCAAACAATGAGCGTGGTCTAGACCTGCTCTTGTTCCTTGAAAAGCGTCTTGAGATGACGACTGTTGTGAATTGGCGCTATATAAATAAAATTTGATTGATTGATTGATTTGATTAACATCCTAGAAGTGACAGAACTACAAGGTTGATACCAGACCTCAGACTGGACAAAACATGGATCTCTCAACCTATGAAGAAGTCAGCCGGATGAAAACTATTTTTTTTTTTTTCAAATCAGTGTTTGAGTTTGTTGAGGACAAGATAAGTAATAATTTCTATGTCCACAGGGGGCGCCAAAGCTGACAGAAAGCAAAAGTTCCTCACAGATGCTTTAAAGTACTACATTTGTAATCAGATGCTTTCTGAATATCAGTATGAACAAGAATGGACAGATTATCGGCTTTGTGGCCAATATCCAGTATATTGTTGATTATTTGCATCTTTAATTTATTCTATTGATTGCAGATAAAATTAATCAATTGATTAAACAGTGCGTGACTTGATCTCCACCACTGGAGGAAGGGGGAAAACCTTTTTCAGTTCCCTGGAGTGAAACCTGCTGCTGATCTAAGAGATACAGCGGGTTTAATGTTTTTACCCTCTCTCCCTCCAGTTGGCTCAGGACACACTGTCTCCCCTGCACTGATGAAGTTTCCATATTTATATGCAGGTTTGAATAATTCAACAAGGGAAAAACAAGAATGGCCTGCGGTCTAACCTGACGAACGGTGGATTTAATATTTTTGACCCCCTTACCTAGAGCTGACCCAGTACTCAGATCTATCAGCCAAACCAGAACTTGTAAAGTCATAAAGTCACATGTTGTAGGGAACTGTAGGGATCACGAGCGTTCAGAGCCACTGTTATTCAAATGCATTAAAACTGACCAGCATTATATATCAGTTAGGTGAACTTATAAATCCAAGAGAGGCAACATAAACTAGAATTCAAAAATTAGGCTCAATTGATGGCTGCTTCAGGATAACCGAGAGTACCCTGCCTCTGCTTTCCCGGATTTCCAGTAGGGATGTGTGTGCGGTGGTGCCATTTGTGTGTAAATGTGTGTGAGAAAGCCGGAGCTCAAAAAAAGGGAGCGACCGTGAGAAAAAGAAGACACACAGAGAGATCGTGAGAGCTTGTTTGTGATCGATTGTATCTCTGACACATCTTTGAGGAGATAAACGCAGACGTGTCTTGAAACTTGTGACGGCATACTCGTGTAAAATGTTTGAATGTATGCTATCTCAGGTCATTGTCTGCTCGGTTTTATGGCCAATCCAACATCCGGAGACTCATTCTTTGGTGCCTAGAGGAATTTCGGGCTGCAGCCGGGGGTGATGGGGGCACATTGTCTGCACCCTCTGGTGGCAGGATGCAACAGCACAACCAGCCCTTTTGTGTGTGCATCTGTGAGTCCACAAAGTGTGTTTGTGCACCCACCTGTTGTTCTGGAGTCAGTAAAAGATCATGCTTCCTCAGGTGACAGTACAATACTGTATGTTTGTGCGGGGAGGCCACCCAGCATCAGCTGCGTACCCTGACAAAGATAGGAGACCTGGCTTACAATTAGAGGTTTTTTGCTTCAGCCAAAAGCAACATTGTTCATTTCAGTGAAAGAGTGGGGCCCTCACTGGGTCCTTAGCCACCTGGAGACGAAGGAGGGCGGAGGCGAGTGGAAAACAGAGAGAAGAATAACAGCATTAGTGTCAGAGAGAAAATGTCACCATAAGAACAGATTCATCATGTAATGGCAAGGCTATTATTATCGTGTCTCGTGAAGACGTGCGTTTTCAAACTCTGGGTGGATTTCAAGATTTTCAGCCGCTGGTGTATCGCCGGTTTTACACAGCAAAGCTAGTGCGGTGAAAAAAAACATGCGAGAAATTCCCCCTCGATGTGCCGTAGCTCGAAGCTTGAAACAAGCTCCGACACTCCCTCCTTTGCAAGTGACTTTCAAGAGGCTGTTTGTTTTTCTTGGCATGAACATACACAACTGTATACATTTAGTGGCGGACTTTGGGGCATTCGAGAGTGAGATCATTAACATATGGGCCGAGCACTTTGAGCCTGCAGACATGGGCCTGGAGGGACAGCCTGGTTGTGTAAGTGAGTAACACTTAACAACTTTAGACGTTATTGCCTCTCCCTTGTAGAGAAAAAAAACATGCATCAAACACTCAAACTAGAAACTTTGCAGGTGGTAAACAAGGAAAAAAAAGAGGCCAGGCAAGATGTTAATGTGTCATGAGGAAATTTTGGGGAGGAAATGAACAGATTTCCCATCAATCTTAACTTCTTAGTGTTGCTTGACCAATTTTCGGCTGATCAGGGCTGACAAATTTGGGATTTTTAAAGATTAATTCTGGGCTTTGGGGCCTTCACTGAGATAGGGTGACCATATTCTGACTTCCCAAAAAGAGGACACGACTATGCAGGAGTTTTTCGGGTCGGATCGAGTGTCTTTTATGTGTCTCTAACTCAGTAAGTCCACGTGACACAAAATCGAAACTTATGTAGAAAACCGCAGACATTTGAAGGAGTTTATAGACTTCCCCGGACAAAGCTGGACAGCCCCCAAAAATGAGGGCATGTTTGGGTAAAAGAGGATGTATGGTCACCCTAACTGAGAGGTAAAGGTCAGACTCTGTTGCCTCCAGGTTTCCAGTTTTGTGAAAGACTGGACTCAGGCAGGATAGAAAATAATCAATAGATAGGCTATACACTGTGTAAGAATAATACCAAGATTAAAACTGACATAAGCAATACAGAGTCAATGTAGGTGTCAGGTTCTACGAGGGATGTTTTTATTCTCGAGATAAAACTGTGCGTCTAATATCATAAAAATGTCGAAGTTGGCTCTCTAAAGTGTTTTTAGCAACTCCAGCCAGAGACCAGGGAAACAGGAAAAACTGTGAAAACGTACAATTAAACAACCTCGGTCAGTCATAAAAAAAAGGAGAGGGAGTCTCACACCAAACAAACACACTTGTTGCTTGGGTAACAGTGAACCCCCCCCCCTGCTGTGGCGGCTCATATGGGCCCTCCAGACTTTACAGAAAAAGGTATCAAAGTGAGCTATATCGAGAAATGAGGAGCCAGAGGGGTGAGTTGTACGAGTAAATAGACTTGAGCGAGAGAAACATTTTGTTTGTGGATGAAACTGAAAAAAAAGAAAGGGTAAAGAAGAGACTGGATGGAGTTCAGGCCTTTAAATATTCAATCTGCTGTAAAAGAAATTCCCAAAATACCAACATTTATTCAGCTTTTACATTCTGCATGTGTGACAGGGTTCACAAAAGCTCCTGCCACATGTTAGCCATCTTGGTGCTTTTTGCCACGTACCTGATCTTCACGACCTTTTTGATACTTTTCGGCAGTCTAAGGGTCTGGCTATGATAAAAATTAGTTTACCTTTAACATGGCGACAGTCGTACAGGGACAGAGGCATGACAAAGGCACGCAGTTCGACTGGTCAACACGTGGTGTGTGTGTGTGTGTGTGTGTGTGTGTGTGTGTGTAGGTGTGTGTAGGTGTGTGTGTGTGTGAGAGAGGGAGCGAGAGAGAGAGGCTCGCAGCCACAGTCGTGCCCGGAAAGGCTTAGAGCACAACCAGTCATTAGGAAGTCAGGCCGTCTGGAGTGCATTATGGGCTGGGTACTGTAACCCTTACAAGCACAGGACGCTATCAAATCCAGGATAAGGGGAAACAACGAGAGAATGAGGGACAAATAACTGTAGAGGCTTCTTTAGCTTACTTGTTTGTCCTGAGGGGACAAACCCTCGCAGATTTACAGGAAAGTATTTGTTTAAGTTGTCCCACTGCAGGCGCTCAGAGCAGGATAAAACACACATTACCGGTTAAATCACCGGTTGGCTGGCTGTGTAAAGGGACAGTGGGATATTGCTTGGGAATCACGGCTGTGTTGCTAACCACAAGTGAAATTTTGACTTCAGCTCTTAACAATTTGGCAGGTTTTAGCGCATCATGGAGTGCTTACTTTGGTTTTGTCAGGGTGTCATCAAATGGATATGATTCACTCCAGACTATACAAAGAGAGTCAAGCAGAAAGGAAAAGTTAGGGCCAGATGCAACGCCGAAACTTTCAGGATGGGAAAGAGATAGCGTGGTGAGAGTAAGGACCTCAAAATGACGATGACGTTCAGGGTTAAACAAAGAAAAAGACTCGAATGAAGAACAAAATATGATTTAATTAAAAGAACTAAATGAAAAAAAAGCAACAAAAGAGAAAAATCCACAAAAATCACAGAGAGCAACAGGGGACACAAGCATACGCACGCACACATACAATGAACCAACCAGGACAGAGATAAAGACAGGGACTATATACACACTGGTAAACGAGCAACAGGTGTGGCTAACGAGCAACAGGTGTGGCAGACGAGACACAGGTGAAACTCATGGGTGATTAACGAAGGAGGGAAAAACTAGGAAAGAAAACCAGACTAGAAACACAAGGAATCAACTACTACAAAATAAAATTTAAACACAGAAAACGGATCTAAAGAATAACACTGAGAACAGGAGGGAAACAGGGTCAAACACAAACTGAAAACTTACAAGACAGAATCACAGGAACAATAGGGAACAGAAACACTTGGAAAAATACAAAGAAAATACACTCAGATAACAAAACCAGTGGAAAAACTACATTAAAAGAACATTTAATGAAAAACAGTGCCTTATAAGTCAACTTTAAATTGAATTTACTTACAATAAAGTATGAGGCAGTGCAGTTTTTCTTTTCTGCAGAGCTATGGGTCGACACTATGTAATGCATGCAAGGCCCAGTCAGCATGCAGGGCCAAATAGCTGTTTGTCAACACTTGGTAAATCATAGCTTGTCATGTCTACAACACAACAAAACATGATATACTGGAAGTAGGCAGGAGGGAGAAATCATCTGCTGAGTTTGTGGCAAGACTTCATACATGCAGTTAAATGATGGGCTTGGGAAAGTGGTGGTCAAAGGAGCAGAGGTGAATCAGATAAAAGGAGTGTCAGGTGCATCGATATGAAGGTAGACAGGTGATTTTTGGTGCTGGAAACGTTCTAGTGTTATCCAGAGTCCAAGTTCTGTATCTTCCGGACTATAAGTCGCTTCGGAGTATAAGTCGCACCAGCCAAAAATGCATAATGAAGTAGGAAAAACATATATAAGTCGCATTTTTGGGGGGAAATTTATGTTCCAAATCTAAGACCAAGAACAGATATTTCATCTTTAAAGGCAAGTTATAATGATAATCTGGCCATCTAGTTTTTAGCCCGCGATTAGCTTTTTTTGTTTTCTTCCAAACTGCCAAACTGAACCTTATTTTGCTTTTTCATCATGCAAGTACGACTATCAACCTGCTCTGAGACATCTTTTCTTGTCTTCATCTCCATCCTTGCCTCATAAGCTTCAAGCAGAACAGTAAACAAATCACCTGTGCATGGACAAAAAGTCCCTCCCTTCACCAGCTGCTTCAAAAACTTGGCCATCCCTCCTAGAGGATCTATCATCTCTAGAGAACAGCTGATTTGTTTTAGGATTTTGGCCAACTGGCTATGATATAGGACCAATGTAGCAGTTTCTTGGTGCAAACAAGCCAACTCTTTGTACCTGTGGGTATCTGTCTTGGTTTTGCCAGCAAGAGCAGCTCCTGCAAATGAAAAAACAAAATAAAACATCATGCATATCGAAGCACATGTGGAAAAGTACCCATAAGCACCCTGCACTGATTTAACCCCTGATTGTGACAATAATCACAATGGTGTCAGCACGATATTAACACACTTTTTGTGCAGACAGACTACTTAAGGTCATCCAGAGGTGGGTTTGTTGTCATGATCTGCTGCTACATGATCTACTACTGCAATAGTTCAGAACCATGACCATTTAACCAGAGGAACTTTTGAGCTCATGTTGATTATAAAGAACAAAAAAATAGATCTGATTTTGTTGCGCCATGAGTTTGGGGACGAGGCATCCAGTAATTTTGCAGACACTCCAGGAGAAGGGCGGCAAACTGTCAAATTTGGTTTCAGCTACTGAGTTCAAAGAGAAGTTTGTTGATTCATCAGAGGAGTTCATCTTTGTAGTTAAAACTTATGAGACAGCCAGACCTGGAGGCTGCCCATTTAAAGCCTCTTATTTGACATCTTGACTCCATCCCGGCCTTCTGTTTTTTTTTTTTTGATTTAGGTGCTGAGGAGGAAAAGAATTGCCTGGCAAGCGTCTGGCCTCCATGTTACTGCGGTGGACATATTGAAACACCTGTTCTGATTTATTGTGTTTGGGCGGTTGGCAGTGAATTGATTCCAGCACCCGGCTTCTTGCACATGTACTGCCAAGACGACCCACATGTCCACAACATAACTCCATCAGATTAAAAAAAAATGTACACACTCGCAAGAGCCAGCTAAACAACCAGAAGCGCATACTCATACAGTCCTGCACAGCTTACGGATGCACTGTACTCTGACCCCTTAAACACACAGGATGCTTATGGGTAGCATTCCATTAGCGCTGCGTACTTAGGGGGCTGGACAGGAAGTCAAACATGGTGACAGTTTGCTGGTCAAATCCAAAATAAGGCCCTGTTCATACATACCCAGTTATCTTTAAAAAACGGAGACATTAACCATCATTTGCACCCTTCGTTTAGATGCAAACTGAGAATTTGCCCCTGAAAATGATGCTTTTAAAAAACTCCGGTCAGAGTGGAGATTTTGGAAAACTCTGTTTGCTCGTTTGCATGTAAACAGAAAAAACTGAAGGAAGGGACAGAAGGAAGAGAAGATGTTGTTGTTGCTGCTATGCATGATTCTGATTGGCTAACGTGGGCTTGAGCTTCTCGCTACACTGCCACCTATCTGTTTGATATGCTCTTGACAGCATATATACACGGGTTAGTGTAAACGAAAACTTTTCTAAAAATGTAGTGGTGTGTTCGCAGAGAGGCTGAAATGTCTGCTTATAAAAATAGCATTACGTACAAATTCCCAAAATCAGATCACAAGGACAGAAATACAATTTATTATTATAGCCATTATCTGTGATGTCGTGAACCAGAGCGCAGAGTGGAGGACACAATGGCACGACACCAATTCAGTTAGTCAAACAGACAGGGTTTCATGAGGTTCAGGCAGAGGTTGGTACACAAAAAGGCAAGGTCGGAAAGGGCAGGCAAAGGTAATAGATGGCTTGGCAATAACTATGAATAAATGCAGGATAGAGACAAGAAGTGCTACAAACTGGCGACGAGACACTAGCCACGTTTACATGGGCAAAATTTCTTGATCTGATTAAAAATTTTAAGGATCTGAGTCCACCGTTTATATGGATGCAAAATCAAATAATCCGATCATGACGTGTGTGCATGCACCAAGCTTTATTCAGATTAGTGGCATTTGGACATGCGCAGCGTTGTCTGATTTCGCTAAAACAACCGCAGAAGAAGAAGAGTTGTATTTACGCCTGTGCTGTCAACAAACCAACAAACGCGGTAGTAGCTCGCTTTATCCAGTTCAGGATTTGTCACTTGATGGCACCCTTGCATACTTATTTTACCATTCTGTCAAAGGTTGCGCTGTGCGTGCAGATGTGACATCATTACGCTGTATGTACGTCTTATGTTACTGGAGAAGCAAACACAGCATCTGTAGTTGTGTTTTATGCCAGAGTGTTAATAATGAAACCTCCTGTACTGGCCTCAGTAAATAAGCCAAAGGCTAAAGAGTGAAGATCGAGTCACGTAAGAGAGTCACAGTTGGAATAAATGTTTACATGGACGCGTATCAGAATAATGATCCGCATAAACCACCCCTATCGATTGGAAAAACAATTTCTTCAGAATTCATCAGAATCGTCCGATCGACATGTTTACATGACGCATTTTTATTCCAATCAGGCATTTATTCCGATTATTTGTGCCCATGTAAACGCAGCTAATGAGACACTCAAGGTTAAATACAATAGATAATGAGGGTGATGGGAAACAGGTGGGGAGACACAATCAGGCAACAGGTGTGACAAGATGGGGGCAGGGCAGACCAGACAGGAACAAAACATAGAAACAAGAGTTGATCTATATATCTGCAACAGGACCTCTCATTAGCTACGTTTACATGGAGCCAAATATTCCGAATATAATCGGATTAGAAGCCCAATCGGAATGAAAATGCTTTTCCCATTCCGATTAAAAGCAAAATCCTGTCATGTAAACGGTGAATCGGAAAGTTGTCAGGCTGGGTTCTGTCTGCGCATGCTCTGTCCTGATGTAAACAAGCAGTGACGTATGACTCACATGGAAACATGATGGCGGCTTCCAAGCAGAGCACGATGCACTGGTCTGCGTCGGAGATCACGTGATCAATCAATCACGTGATGTTTGAAGGTATCACGTGTCTGTAAATAGCTGTTCCGATTGAATGCCGTGGCACATGTAAACACCAGATCAGAATAGATCGCTTCCATGTAAACAGTTCGCCCGGGAGCTTCAATCGGAATGATTATAATCCGAATGAGAAAAAAGTCTGCATGTAAACGTGGCTAGTGTTTACCTTGTCTGAATGTGACAGTACAACAGAGAAGAATAATAGTGAACACATTAAAACCTAAAACAAAAGAAACTATAATTGCTTAGCAATGCTAGAAGCACAAAAGTAACAGAATAGTGACAGAAACCGCAGAAACACTTAGAAAAAGCTGTTGTCTGTACACTGAATCCAGCTGCTCCAGGCCGTACTCAGCTGCGTTACGCTTCAAACAGGTCCCAGCGGGCCAGGGCGTACGCTGTCGGGTTTAAGAGGTTACAAGTTTTACAAATAACTTATTGAGAGAGTGAGCAACTTTTATTATACGGTCATTTTGAAAGACAACAGTTGCCAAGTGTTTCACATCAACAAAAACTCTCAGTAGAGTTCGCTGGATGCAAAGAGAAATGCAGAGAGTAGCAGAGGATTGGAGCTACGGCCCCAAAAGCCCTATCACCGCCAGTCTTGAGCCGTTGCCTGTGGGATGGACAGCAGGTGTGGTGAGCTGGACCTTCGTGATAGGGCTGATCAATCATGAGCGCAGTCTACCCAGAAGTCTGTGTTATGATGTTTCGTTTCTGAGCCTCCCTCTGTTAAACAAAGGCACACGAGCATTCAGGAGAAACATGAGAACGAGCCAAGAGGGAGAGAACATTTGTCCAACAGAGGGGGGAATAGTTAAAGAGAGACAGCCATACGTCAGTCTGCCCTGAACTCACCTTTGACAGGGTCCCACCTGTCAACATGGACCTGAATCAAGTTCCCTTTTCTCTGAAACCAGGTGCATTAAACTCAGAGCGCAAATTCCCTGCGCAGCCATTTTTTTGGTGCTGAGCCAGAGTTCCTCTTTGTGCTGGGCTGCGTCTATCTATCTGGTGCAGAGACTTCAGCTAAAGAGGAGCAAATAGATACTCCATCTGGCAGTTGTCTGGCCTTTGCTGTCTGTGGGACATATGATGGATTCTAGCAGGACGAGATGCCAAAACACAAAATAGCTGAGGTCAGTCAGTTTAGGAAATCCCAAAAGTGGGAGAGGGCTGCAGATCTTTGTTGTTTGGACGTTTGAGAGCGTTCCCATGATGGGGGTCTAAATGTTAAACAGGTAAAAGTCTGATGTCACACTTTAAATCACCAATACGGTCACCTTTTTTATGTTTTACGCATTATAAGGAACACAATCTGAATCAGCTCCGCCCAATCTGGTGGTGGATGGTTGTCGTCACGATGACGCAAGTATATGCTGCCCTAATTAGATGGTTTGGGGACCCAGACAACTGTTTGCCAAGGCCAGACGGGGTTCTTCCCTTGTGTGTCACGGTCTGACATCACAGTCTGGGTGCAAAGACACCCTATCATTGGTATGGACGGGCTGTGTTTGAGGAGTGACTGAGCCGACCTCAGAGTCCTGTCACAGTACCAGTCCGCCATGTGGACCAAGATTAGGAGGAAGTCGCCCATGTGCCAAGAAGTGTGGGCTCCTCCACTAAAGCCCAGGAATTCTTATCATGTTGACTTTTCAAAAGGGATGCACCACACTGCGGTCGAGTCTGCAGCTGGGACAACAAAGTGATGAATGTAGCGGCTATTGAAGAAGGGATGTGCCCACACACTCACCTCCTCCCTCCCTCTTTCTTTCTTTACACCCTCAGTCAATCACACACATAAAAAACATACGCAAAAGTGTTTTTAAATGCTGTTGCAGCCATCCGGGTGGAGAAATTTAGTGAGCTACAGGGCTCTGCAGAGCCACTCTCCAGGGCTGTAGCCATAAAACAAAAGCACTTGTAACATGAAAGAATTCCTGCAATTTACAAGAGGAAGTGGAACATCTGAGAGACCATGTTTGAATTCTCAGTGTGCTCTTCTGGGCGATGTGTCAAAGCAGGGGTGGCTGATGCTGGCGAATATTCCCCTCTTCCCTCAACCAACACCCCATGAGCCAAAGCACCCTACATCCCGTCACCCTCACTGCCTCTTAAATGCCGAATGTACTTCCTGTTTCCCATTACATGCTATGTCTCAGTGACCAGTGAGACCTCAGTAAAACATGTCCACCCTGAGTGCATTCATCCACCGCGAACTTCACTTTGAACCTCGCAGCCCCGGGGAACATTCCTGCCTTGAAAGGTTTATTTGGTTATCTCTCTGAATGTCCCACAGTGAAATATACAGTTAAGTAAACTCTGCTGACACAAACCAGTTGTAGGTATGCAATAGTAAACAGATTGTAAGCACTCATGGGAAGGGTTGCAGCCTGAATCTCGGTAATGCGCCGCATACTGTCATCCACGTATGATCAGAAATAGCATGTTTTTCCCATAACGCACTGAAACTTGAAACAGACTTTTGCCTTGAGGTGATGTGGAGTCCGAACTTTTACAGGTTCTCTTTATTTTGTGAAAAATTATTGTGTCAGCTGTTTGTACTTTTACGACAACACATGAGATTTTGCAAGTTCTTACGCCTGATAGAAACGAGGGCTCTTAAAAAGCAGGCGATTCACGACCGTTCTTCGCGGATCGGGGTGAGAGTGTAACCTGCGTGCATTTGTGTGCGACTTTGTGTGTGTAGTTTTCCAGAATTTGGTCTGCATTCATGTGGATAATTATAACTTTATGGAGATTTTTTTCCCTCCCTTCCTTACGACCACATCTGCAGCAGAGGCACATAGTAGAGGAAGGGTGGAGGCCAAACTTTCTGCTTCTCTCTCTTTCTCCTCTCTCTGTTTCCATCCCCTTCTCTCTCTCTCTGCTGCTGCTGCTGCCTCCATTCTCTCTCTCTTTTTTTTCTCTCTCTCTGTCTCTCTTCCTTGTGTCGCTCATCTTCCTGCCTGGTCCGGACCACCTACGTTTGGGGCCTTGGGTGGACCCAGAACCATTGCTATCAGCGCAAGTGTACTCAAACGTCCCATAATGACTTCCACTTAGAGCCAGTCCATAAACACTCTCAGATGCAGAAACACACTTTTAGGGCTCGGGCAGGCTGGCTGCATGCTTTCCCTGTCCGCAGAGGCTGTAGTCACTTAACCAGTTTCCTTAATTCATGTCTTAATAGGAATGTGTTTGTTTGTTTGTGTGCTGGTTCGATGCTGTTTATTTGGCTGCTTGTTTTATGACATAAAGTAAAGTTCTTGGAGCCACCCTCGGAGCTGTGCTACCCTCAAGTGTGTGGCAGCTTTCACATACTAAACTTGCAGCTCTGGAACAGGAACTTGTTGAGGTATTCAGCAGTGGTCGGACCTATAGCCACCTCCAATATGGAACGGTTTCATGATCCCAAAAGCTGCAGGTCCCACGCCTGCTCATAATGACCTCATATTATGTAATTCTGTTTTGCGTTATGTTAAATATCATAAAACTCATGTGCGCCGCTAGGGTGGAGCTGACATGTTCCTCTAACTCACTGAATGACCTCAAGCTAATTTAACTTGAGTGCGACTCTGCGATCGCTTTAGCACAAGTCTGAGGAGGATGTTGTTGGATTAAAAATGTCAGTACTTTGTTGTTTGCTCATGTTCTCACAGATGTCACTCTTAATCCCAGCGAGCATTACAGTGAAGGATTCAAAGAAAGGCGCTGAGCATTTTCTGACAGTGATGCTATTATGTGATCAGCACTTAAAGGATAATTCACTATTTGGATCTCACTTTTATAGTTTAGGCAAAGCCTCCTCATTGAAATTATAAGACTTTAATTTATGTTAATTGCTGCAATCTGGGATCATCACAGTGACACTGCATAAAAGGAGCCAGATGGGGCAACAATAAAATACGAGCAGTCAGTGGATCTTAAGAGTTTTAAATAAGAGCTGATGTTTTGCCAAACTTGTTTGAAGAGGAGAAAGAAAACAAGCTAATGCAAATACTTCACCCATTTCCTTCCTCTTTTATTCATCATCTGGCACATAAACAATGGGGTTACAACAATATTTCTGTAGATTAGGGTGACCGTATTCTGACTTCACAAAAAGAGGACCGGACTATGCGGGGGCGGAGTTACAGAGTCACACTAAATTAATTTTGAGAGTTTTTCGGGTTGGATCGAGTGTTTTTTCCGAACTCAGTAAGTTCACATGAAACAAACTTCTGTACAAAACCGCAGACATTTGAAGGGTTTTATAAGCTTCCCTGGATAAAGCCGGACAAGGACAGCCCCCAAAAAGAGGACATGTCTGGGTAAAAGGGGACGTATGGTCACCCCACTGTAGATACCAATACAGCTGCAGACTTTGATGGATCGGTTTCACATCAGCTTCTTCAGTGGATGTTAGTCAGTTAGCCTATATACTGATGCTGAGTAATAACCTGTGCTAAGTTTGTTAGAATTTCTTAAAATCAAGAATCAAAAATGCAGCTCAAGAATATCCAACAAATCTTTGTTTTCACTGATGCAAAATTTATTTAGATTAGGTAACACCCACTGCGCAATGCGACGTCGAAATGACATCTATTTTAGACAATGAGATACAAGTGGACGTCATTTCAACATCTAAAAGAGGTCCAATAATGACGTCTAAGTCTTGGATCTATTTTGCACATTGTGCCAATGTCTAGATTTGGTCTTCAGATGACGTCCAAATTCTAAACGTCAGAGCAACGTCTAAAAAAAGTCTCATTTGGACGTTGAAATTTCTAACCTATCTTGCACATCGCACTGTAGTCTAGATGTGGTCTTTGGTGGACCGACCCAATACTGACTTGATCTGCACGTCTCTTCGACGTCCGATGTTTGGTGGACAACTAGTTTAGTTTTGTTTTGGATCCCGATTAGTGGCTGCAGAACACAATCTTCCTGTGGTCCATGAAAATTAAAAGCACATTAACATAAAAGTAACATTTACATGAATACATCATATAATACATTACACTTCACTTATATAAATACATTGATAAATACAATTGCATTACTCCATTCACTCCAACTCCAAAATTGGATTTTAAGTTGGGAGAAAATGATGTTCGAGAGCGGGCCACAAAAAGTAAAAGTGTGAGTGCCTTAAAAAAAGATATCAGACTTTTAGAAAAAACTGTCACAGTGCTGACTTTAACACAATTTCCTTCACCGGTTTATTATCCAAAGTCACTTCAAAAGGATTTGGGACTTAAAATCCATCTCCACCAGATTTTGTCGAACAATGACAGTCATCTTTCCCTAAGCGCCATCATCCCGTAGGTTTCTTTGGATCGCTGCTGCGGAAGTTTACTGCTGTGGACCGGCCTGCTTTTCAGCTGCTTGTACAACAGATTCACAATTTTTAACACTGTTACAAAGCTAATGTTACTCTTTTAGCACCAGTCTTATTTTCATTCTCCCGTTACCTTAACTTTATTGACATGAATGTTATCACTGCAGACCTGTTGACTTGAATTTTCCATAAATCAAACAAAGATCAGTGTTTTATCTTTATCATGCTGTTCCTGTAAATAGTTCACATACTTTTTCCGTTTATCTCTGCTGTTGTAACCATGAATCTGCATGTACTATTATTGTTGTTGTTGTTTGTCTGTGTCCATCTCTCAGCCCAATGCACTAGCAGCAGAAGACTGTTTAACACGAGTCAGGGGACACCTGTAGACACTAACTTGAACCCGATCATGACAGAGGAATGTCAGAAAGTTCAGTGACACCATCTGTATCACAACACCTGGAGTTTATCTGCAGGTGAGATAAACACACGCATTCACACATCTTTCTGTCCAAACCTCCAAAAACATATAACGCTCCCTGCTATCAAAGATTGGGCGGACTATCTCCTGCCTGCTCCAACTGGATAAGAGAGATAGGCCTTTTAGAAATGACATTTTTGCCAGCAGACTGTAAAGGCCCTTACGTGCCAACAGAGCATCTCCTGAAGGTCAGAAAGAGAACAGAGAGGAGAGAAGTGAAGATTGAGATCAGATTCCCAGCTGCTCTAATCCCATCTTCTATCAATGTTGACATTTCAGAGTGTTTTAAATCATGTCAGACTGTGGTTTTATAAATGTGAGGCTGGGATTTGGAGAATAAATGTGTCTCTTATTCTTTCGGCTGTTTAGGGTTTTTTAGACCAAACATGAATAGACCCTGATATTCTACACAAATGACGAGCATGTGAACGTACACACAAATCCAGAAACGAATCAAAGCCAGCACGATAAAACATCCAGCAGCCTCTTTCATCTGGTTTGTTTAGGATTTTTCTATCTCGTGTTTATCCCTTGAGTAAAACTATGCATCTTCTTCGCGATCAGCTCGCCTTTAATCTGTTTGGGACATTGTCTCGCCTTCTATCAGTACACAGGTAAGTTATCTCTGCAGCTCTGCATCCTGCCAAGCGTGGGGTTTCACAGCTCAGGGGCCGCTATCTTGCCTCATACTGAACAGCTATCTTCAAATGTGGGCAGGAGGGGCCAAAACAAGTCCAAGATCAGACACGGCACTGAGCCCTGCCATGATACTCCTGCTGCAAGATGATGTTGCAAACCTGAGGAGATTACAGATGAGCGATTTAAGATATCAGACATGCCATGGAGCAGGTAGGTGTTATTCTGGAGGCAAGACTGCTTTGAATCTTAACATTATTTGTACTCTAACATGCGTTTTAAAACCAACCATCTGAAGGTTCTTTGTGGACCAGAACCCAGAGCCTCTATTTCACTGTAAATGCAACTGAGATTTACAATGAAATGGACAATATGAATAAACTGGAATTGGATTGGACTTCATGAGAATTGTTTGTGAAGTATTTATCCATCTGTTTCGATCTTTAAATGTGTGTCATGGGTCTTGTGTGGTATTAAAAACACCTTGCTCCACAGAGACAAGTTACTACAATGCCATGAGGCAGTGGCTTCCCTCGCAGGGTCACGCAGAGTTCCCGGGTTGGTGAGTCAATTGCACTTGCGAGTGAGTCAATTAGTTTTTGTGACTCACTTTGTAGGGCCATTTTCCCCGTGAGTCACCTAGACCAGCCTTTGCATTTCCCGCAACACAAAGAGTTTTTTTTTCTCTTTTTTCTTTTTAAGGTCTCCTCTGTTTGGACAGAATAGCCCCCTTAATTGACCTCACTTTGATGTTCCCAGTTACAAGTCTTGTCTGTGTTGTGTCATTCAGCAGGCAACACGAACTAATGGCAATCTGGCCGTCACTCTCCTGAACGTTTTAGTGGTTGAGGGTGAGGACTGTACGGTTTCCAGTAGAGTGTTTCCCCAAAGTGCTACTCTAGTTTAGAAAATCTTGCGAGATCCTAAACCACAGCCACAAAATAACAACATTAATTGGATGACTGGAGGGCTTGTAAGTGAGTAAGTAAACAGTCACTGAAGCCACATCCACTTGAACGTGGATAAATCTGGGGAGCACATTTGCAAAAGAGAATGACTACCAACCAAGATAGGATTTTTCATCTAAATAAGAAATAATCAATGTGTTGTCTCCGGAAAGTTGCATGTAAACAACTTTACCAAGCGCTCAAGATCACAATGAGTGTAAAGCAGCAGGAGAAATCAACAGAGAAAAGTTTTCTGAAATATGCCCTTTAGTGCCACTTTAGAGGGTAAACCAGGCAGAGACATCTCTTGACAGATTGGTCAAAGTAATGCCTTCCTCTTACAAATGGCTGTACTTATGCTGCATTCCAGTTACCTCCAAAGTCAGATGTTGGAGCTGGGAATGACGTCACACCTGAGTCGACGGCATTCCAGTTAACAAGTTGGAAA